ACCCCATCCTAAAAAATCATGTGTTGACACATTCGCATACTCGTATCGTCTGCTCACGCTCAAATCGTCAAGCGATGTTGACAAAGGTCCAATGCCAAGGCCAGGTTTCGGAATTTGGCTAAGCCGAAAACAATCAGTGTGTTTCCTTCCTACATCGCCATCAAAAATCAAATCTGCATGAGAACTGTCGATAGCAGATCAGCCTTATTTATGGCTCAATAAATGACACTTTGGATCGCTCCAAGCCAAACAAGGTCAGGGTAGCTTTACAATGGCCCAAAGCCCATTGAGGCATATTCCTCCTGTATATTATTATGAAAATTGCACTCTAGCCGAAGCAGTTCTAGCCAAAAAAGAAACCAGAGCAGCTCGAAAGCCGAGGGGGAACTCGGAAATGAAGACACAAAGGCACATCATTGTAAGCATTTTGAGCATGAATCGATCCCCGCATCACCCCTTGAAATAACCAAACAATGAGCGGACCAGTCAGTCAATGCTTAAATTCTGAATAGAGCAAGCCATGAGCTGTGCATTAACCTGGCCCAGAGCCCAGGCCTGGCCAAAGCATCCGCATTCTTGGAACTTTTGTTTGGCCGCATATCCGTTGGACACTATTACCATGGGCATTGGAGTTTGTTCGTTCGCTGGAGCTCCCACTAATGTTCTGAGCGCTACAAGAGGGACAGGGGACTGGGGACTGGGGACTGACCCTGGCTCTGGCTCTGACTGTTCTCTGTCTGGCAATTGTAAGACACAAAGAGGAAAGACAGAAACAGCGAAAATAAATTAACTTGATTGATTAAAGGAATTTGTATACGCATGTTGCCATGGCTGTTGGTTGGGTGTTGGTGGCTGGTGTCTGGTGTCTGGTGTCTGGGGGCTGAGGGCGGTCAGTGGCTGTCAAAAGTCAAGATACAGCTCCAAACTCTCAAAGCTTGAGATCGGCACCATACCAATGATTGTTGTGGATGTTGCTTAATGGCGGTTTGCCAAAAAAAAAAAATGAATTTGCTAGCTGCCCGAATGAGAGTAACAAAAACAAGAAAAAAAGAAGGCAAATTGTTAAAGGCACTTTGCTTGCTGACTGGATGGTTGGTTACTCAATCCAGAATCGATAGATCGGAAAAGATTAGCAGTTTCCGACAGTGCTTACATCATAACCCCCCACACCCTGAGCGTTCCTCTAGAGGTACACGAATTACCCGTACTTTTCCAATGGAGCAACTGGACACAATACCCTATTGCATACCTTTAATAATGGCTTTTCGGACTCAACTTTGATCTTCAATGAGTAAAATGAATGTCTGTGTCACCAGTGTCCGGATAAACGTATTTAGATATGGCTTATGCCATCACGTACGCGCACTTGCCTTCACTTTCGTTCCAGGGCGATAGTTGGCTATATGACTTGTCCAACGAAACTCCTTTCGAAATTCCAGTCACGACGCTGCGTGCATTAGAAGCAGAGCTGAGGTGACCTGTCGCCATTAATTGAGATCTCGCAGAATATTTGTCATTAGGCTGAGACACTTGATGATCATATTCCGCCGCGGTACACCAATCTTCATTGTTTGCAAGTAGAATCTCATACTGTATGCTGATAATGTGATACACGATGCACGATTAGAACTGCGACTGATTCGACATTTTCTTTCTGTCTATTTGCTTTTGCAGGTGTATTCTATACAACGGCCTAAAGATGACACCCATTCTGGAGAAAATGAGCGTCTTCTACAACTCGTATGTACTCGGCATACTCACCGTTGGCTATATCCTGGGCGAGTTGGGACACTATCTCATCGGAGTGACCTCCAAGCAGACGGCCATTGAGCTGGACTACGGCGATCATGCCTGCCAGCAGAACAGTTCCCTATTCAACCGCCAGGAGCTGCCGACGCAGTGTTCGGCGGTGGGCAACGAGAGCACCTGCCACGCCCTGGACTTCAACGGCACTGGGTACTGCGAGTGGAACTACAATGGGCTGGGCATCGACTACCAGATCCTTGCCGGACCCACCTTCATTCTGATATTCACCATAGCAGGTGTCTTCATGGGCTTCGCGGCCGACAAGTACAATCGCGTCAAAATGCTGACCGCGTGCACGGTGGTCTTCGGCATCGCGATCATCCTGCAGGGCACCGTTAAGGAGTACTGGCAGCTGGTGCTGCTGCGCATGGTGATGGCCGCCGGAGAGTCTGGCTGCAATCCACTGGCCACCGGCATCATGTCGGACATCTTTCCGGAGGACAAGCGCGCCCTGGTCATGGCCATCTTCAATTGGGGCATTTACGGGGGCTACGGCATTGCCTTCCCCGTCGGCCGCTACATCACCAAGGCGAACTTCTGGAATCTGGGCTGGCGTGTGTGCTACCTGGGCGCAGGAGTGCTGGCTGTTATCGTAGCCGCACTCACTGGCACTACTCTGCGGGAGCCGGAGCGCAAATCTATTGGCGAAGTCGATCGACATACGGCCAGCGGCAAGCCGATCAGCCTGTGGCAAGTGATCAAGAGTCCCGCTATGATCATGCTGATGATAGCCGCCTCCATTCGTCACTGTGGGGGGATGACATTCGCCTACAACGCCGATCTGTACTACAACACGTACTTCCCCGATGTGGATCTAGGCTGGTGGCTTTTCGCGGTCACTATTGGCATTGGCAGCGTGGGTGTGGTCGTTGGTGGCATTGTTTCCGACAAGATTGTCGCCAAGATGGGAATCCGATCACGCGCCTTTGTGCTGGCTGTAAGCCAGCTGATTGCCACACTGCCAGCCTTCGGATCGGTCTACTTCGATCCGTTGTGGGCCATGATCACCCTCGGCCTAAGCTACTTCTTCGCCGAAATGTGGTTCGGCATTGTGTTTGCCATTGTCGTAGAAATTGTCCCGCTCCGAGTCCGCTCCTCGACCATTGGCGTCTTCCTGTTTGTGATGAACAATATTGGCGGTAATCTGCCCATTCTGGTGGATCCCGTTGCCAAGGTGCTCGGCTATCGGGGCTCGATCATGATTTTCTACGCTGGCTTCTATGGCATCAGTAAGTTGATTTGTTGACTCCTTATCTTACCCGTTTGGATACCAATGACTCATCTTTTTTAACACCTTCTTCTCTTTTTTACAGGCTCCATTCTTTTCTTCATCACATGCTTCCTGCTCGAGGGCAAGCCCGAGCCGGCAAGACAAGAGTCCTCGGTCGAGTCGCCATCGAAGATCCATCCAGAGGCTGTGCTTAACGCCCGCCACATGCACGGACACGACAACTCCGTGTTCTCCGTCGATGAATCGACCCTGCCCGCAGCCAACGGACGTCCCACGCAGCTGCCGCAGCACTTGCAGATGTCCAGCGGGAACGGATACGACAAGTCACAAACGACTCCAGCGCGCCAGAACGGTGCGGAGAGCAGTAGACTGTAGAATAAATACACACATACATATGTAGGAATGTGTGTAGGTACTTATAGACGTACGTGCAGATGCAATTCCGGTAGATTCTGGGTGAATGAAAGATCGATAGCGCGTGATTTTTTTTTGTAACTATTACTATTATTATTGATTCTTTATTTCGTTAAAGTACTTAGTCTTAAGCCAAAGGTCGAGAGAGAGACGACAAGACAAAGGGAGGCGAGAAGTGGCTTCTGTTTCTGTCATCTTTTTCGCATCGATCTCTCTCACTGCAACACACAAAAACAAACTCTCTCCCCAGCGCCACTATGTAATAGAGAGCTGCACAAGTGTATTTACTTATGTAGTATGTATGTAACTTGATGGCCACAATGAAGTGTACAGCATCAATAAAAATTTGTTTTGTTAAATATGGTAGACTTCTTTGCACTTTCAATGCCACTTGACGGCAAGTACATATGGACGTTCATTTAAATTTTTTGTAACAACAAGAAAGTCTACTAAATTGGTTTTTTTTTTTGGGAAGATTATATTAATGTCTGCCGGTTAAAATAATTTTTTCAAACTTTTTGAAAATAGCTCACCGACATATTCAAAAGAGACAAAAACAAAATATTAATCTGGTGGTCCGTTATATTGATTATATATACATAAGTACATATGTATGTAAGTAATAGTAATTTTGATTGACTTATTGTGGACTTCGCATAAACCATATTAAGTTAACTAAGTTGAATTTGGCATGAAATTAACAAAACTTTGAAATCTTGCTATGAAACTAAGGTCCTAACTAACTTGCTAAGAAGGTCACGGATTCACCACAGTGCCCTCTCACCAGGAACACCTGAACATGGTGAAATCATGGTGAAATTACTAATAAACGTTTGCTATCTCTCTGTAGCACTTGCCTCTCTGAAAGCTGAGAGGGCGTGGTGAATAAGCTGGTGCTACATATTTTTTTTTTTTAATTTAATCGCTACAGCGAAATTGGTTGGTAGCAGACGATCAGTCCGCATTGACCAGATACTTTATGTTGAAATTTAGAATACTGAAAATTTTGAACTCAAAAAAGAGTTGCTTGCCGAACGAACACTCTTGTGTTTTCTTCCTTAAACCACCAAGTTTGGTTTTGCAAAGACTTCCTGCAAAACGAGCTTGACTGGTTATATATAGATCGATCATAAAAGAAAAGTAAGATCGGCGTTTATCAATATATTACTCTATAAAGTGATAAAATTTTTCAAAAATTTAAGTCGAAATCTGCTTTTGCAGAAAACGAACATTATATTAACCGCGATAATATGCAAGTATCGACAGATTTACATATGTCCATATGTACATACATGTGTACATATGTATGTTAACTAACCTCAGTACCGCGAACTTACTTTCTCAACTACTTGCCAATGTATTTTCCTCCAAACATGCAAATGTACATATGAAAATACATACATACATTTGTACATTAAAGTTACATTTAATGCGCATCATTTCGGCGATTTCTTACTTGGTGAAAATTTCACCTCTGGTACCGAAGATTGTTTACATACATCCATATTTATGTGGATACATACATACATATGTGTATCTCAATACTTACATTCTCCTTCGCGGCCTCAAAGCAGTCTGAGGGCTATTCTGTTATTTTCAACGTTGCGGCTATATACACGTATATGCACCCATGTGCATGTGCATGCACACAGCCATATACTTAACCCTCTCGTTGGCGTGAGAGTGTGGCCAGTTTGCACAAAGATCAAAATGCTTTTTTCTTGATGACTAATATATAAATGAGAATACAAAGCAACAAAAATTATCTCATGTCACTCTGCATGGCATCTGGAGGTATTGAAAGGGGATTGCTACTAAGCAGTATTGAAAGTATCGGCAACTTTGCCGATATTTGCGGCGAATTCAATTCGCCGAACAGTGTTTGTGTGAATATCACACGGGTCACATATGTGCCTATGTATGTGCAGATGTATGTTGGATGGTAACAACCGGTTGAACGGCGACAAAATGTATTTTCGCAGTCTAGTCCATTTGAACGCGTACTTTTGCAGTGTGAGCATCAGCGCGTTTGTTTTAATTTGTTAGAATAAAATACCCAGGAACGCCCAAATAACGCGGAAAAGTCTGGTAAGTCTTTGTTGCTGAACTCCCCATGCGAACGGTTAGGTAATTTACTTAAAATTGCGCCACATACTTTATGTACGCCATCAAGCAGTTTTGTTTTTTCTGTCCGCTTTGTTCTCATGTGTACGCGTTCTACCGAACCACCCTCGTGTGTCGATAGAACCTTCCTTCTCGGCAAGACAATTTTCAGTATTGGTTCAGTTTCTGTGTTCAGCGCATGAAACGAACAATGATCACTGTGGCTCAAGGCCAAAAGTTGCATATTTTTCTTCTGTTCAATTGCCTTAACATACAAAATTGAGAGTAAATAAAGAATGTCAGCTTTTCATTCTTCTGATCCTAGCCAGGATATATGTATGTATGTATAAATGATGCGTATCTCTACTCTGTTCGTTTGACTAAACCTTATCAAGAATTGATTGATAATATTTGTCTCACTTTGGAATTGGAAGTTAAAGGTCTAATACCATTCAAACACTTCGGTTTTTCCCGAGTTCGGCATTCACTTGAGTCGTCACGTTTTAGTTGCTAGTTGCGATTGCGACTTCGACGAGAGCAGACGTAACACCGAAGCATACACACATTGTATGTATGTACCTACGAGGCGTTTTGCTGAGAGGGACGGATGTAACTCTGCCACCGATGAGATCTTATATAGTTTCTTCATGGACGGTTGGATCTCATTCATGAAGAAAATATATTAGGAGGTCTCGTCGGCAAAAATTAGGCAAACGTGCGAGTGAAAGGGCACTCGCTGTAAGTGTGAGGGCAACGACATTGGAGTGTGCTGAATAATCATTTGAAGACAATGTGAAAAAACATAATAATTGTTTCATAATTTAATTTTTAATAGTTTGCTCAATAATAGTAGTCTGTGTTTGAAAAAGTAAACATTTTGACAAAATTTGAAAACAAATTTTGTCCGCAACCAACCTTTCGCGTCGACAAGCAAACGAGCACTGAAAATTAGGAAAAGCAACGAGTAACTCTGCGACCGACGAGGCCACCTTATAGTTTTAAGTTTTAAGGCATGAAGCAATTATATAAGGAGGGCCCGTCCATGGTGAAATTAGTAATAAGGTGACGGATTCACCACAGTGCCTTCTCATTCGAGGAACACCTGCTTGTCAGTCGTTTGCCAAACGTCGACGAAAGAGGTTGTGAAGCGCACGATTTTTCCATTGTCTTGAAGACGTAAGCGGAAGACAATGAAATATGCATGCAACTACTATTCTATTTTGGAGGTGTAATGAAATGTGTATGTATAGAATCTTTATTCAATTACATCTATTTAGAAACAAACATGTCTGCAAAATATTTTTTGCTATGCCGCTTCAAATGTTTACTTTGCTGTCAGCAGAAACAATAAAAGCGAAGAGTGCAGAACGTAAAACGTTTGCTATCTCTCTGTAGCGCTTGCCTCGCTGAGAGCTGAGAGAGCGTGGTGAATAAGCTGGTGCTCCTCCACTCAGCTGATGACGTTATCTATTAGTAATTCTACCATGGGCGCTGACAAATTTCGCATATTNGGAGAACGAGCCACCGATGGTCTGCATTTCCCTGGGCAAAGCACCCGAGGGCAAGCCAAAAACGTCAGAGGTACAGCCGGAGGACGCAGCAGCGAAGGTTGACTTGAAGGAAACAAAAACAGAAGCAGGATCGGAAGCAAAGCCGGATAATGCGCCTGCGGCTGCAGCTTCGACTGCCAACGACTCTGAGTCGGATGAAAAGGTACGAAAACTTTCCAAAATGAAGATTGTCCTGGGTCCGAATGGCCACAGTACATTCCTGGTGAACGATGACGACTCCATGCTGCTCGACAACTTTGGCCAGAAGTTTAAAGTAAAACACAATGGAGATGAAAATAGGAATGGTGGTGGGAAGAAGGAGGGGTCCCCAGTTAATTCACAAATTCATAAGATTATGCGACGCCGCTGTTCAATGGCACCGACGGCCAGCCGTCCACTCGTAGATAAGGCCTCGATCTTTAATGGCAGCAGCCTGATGTACGAGGACCTCACCGAACAGAAGCGCAAGGAGAAACAAACATGTCTGCAAAATATTTTTTGCTATGCCGCTTCAAATGTTTACTTTGCTGTCAGCAGAAACAATAAAAGCGAAGAGTGCAGAACGTAAAACGTTTGCTATCTCTCTGTAGCGCTTGCCTCGCTGAGAGCTGAGAGAGCGTGGTGAATAAGCTGGTGCTCCTCCACTCAGCTGATGACGTTATCTATTAGTAATTCTACCATGGGCGCTGACAAATTTCGCATATTTTAACCCTTCCCTACGTACAGTATGATATTCTATTTTGTGCAATTTTAAACCCCATGCCATCAAAGGGCTAATCAGCACAAAAACCGATTTGTCGTTTCACTTACACTTACAGCGCAGAGCAGCATTGTTGACAGCATTGTTACGTTTCCCTTATTTTGCCGACGGGCCCTCCTTATAAAATTGTTTCATGAGAGCAGCAGATTGCTAAATTAATAAGTGAATGAAAGCTCAACAGAGTTCTTGCAAACAGAACAAATTTTCTACTTTAAGTGATTTTCTCTTATCCAGCACCGTGAAAAATTCTTGACAGGAATTTTCTATAAATTTCGTTTGTGTGGAACGTAACTAAAACAGGCTGACGAGTCAGCTGTTTGTAAAGCCTAGTACTCAGATCGAAAAACACGCTTGCTAGCAAACTGCAATATATTTTGCTAGCAGCAGAGTGTGACCAGAGGTGAAAACCGCATTCCGTACGGCTACACTTCTCAGGCAGCTGTGTTGTTTTGTTTAACCTTTTGAAAATGTGTGCAAATTGAATAAAAGGCTAATAAAACTATTAATGCAAAATGGATCCATGCAGGAGATTGCTTTAAGTGGGATTGGCGGCTCTTGCGTGATCGGAGGAGGAGGACAATCAACGAAATAAGCGCCGACAACTTTGATTAAACCCATATCTGCAGAAAAGAAAACAGGACGGTCGTTTGTCTATACAGTATTATAAATAATATAAATATGTGTACATTTATGGAAACCCATGAAACGATACCCTGTGCATATTCCGCAGTTTGAAAATATGACAGAGAATTTGCATATGTCTGGGATTAACATCTGCAGCCTTCTTTGATTGGTGGAGCAGCAAGGCCGTGCCAAGGAATATTTGCGCCGGTGGCAAAGTTGAGTCTAAATCGCCGCCTTCGCCCCTACACGACACGATTCTGTTTAGCAGTACTTGGTCCCAAAAGGAAAACAACTTAACAAATTTTGTTAACAGCCCAGCCTGGTCTTGGCTTGGCAAGATGAAGCAACTGGCGTTAAAAATAAGTGAAAAAAATTAAAAATGCAAAAACATTATATATAATCTCATTAATCTATAATAATTGTTTCCTTTCTTTGCCGTTTGATGGCCTTAAGCTCGTTTAGAAGCACGGTGGTCATTTATCTTTTAACTTCAGCGGCATTGTTACCTCCATTCAATTGAGACTTTACTCTCTGTTTGCTAGGTACCCTCTCGGAATATAAAACAAATATATATTTGTCGAGCTGCTAGCAACATACCAACGAATACAACACAAATACTATCAACACCACAAAAGACTATCGGCTGACTTTCTAGATTTACCCGGCCTGGTTTTTGTCGATCTGAGTACTGCCTGGCGTACAGCCGCTAGAAAGTACCTTGTGCGCGCAAAAGTTCTTATCGGTTCCATACGAATATCATCCCTTTTTTTCGATCGGAGTACTAGGCTTAAACATGTATGGTGCAGTGGCAGTTTTAAATGTAAACTAAAAATAAAAAAGTAAAAAAAACGTGCTGGTAGCTGAATTGAAAATGCAATTGGGATTTATCATTAATGCATACCATTATTGCCAAAAGAGCGCAAAAAATCCGCATTCACGGATGAATGCTTATTAATTGAAAGTTCGGCAGACCCTGATGCTGAATCCTTTCGTGGTCGTGTCTAGGAATATCCCAAATATGTTAGAAATAATATAATGGATTATGTTAACTCTGCAGGTCAGTACCTTGGCAAAATGAATATTCTGGTCTGTCTCAATAATAAACAAATACATTTGAAATGTATATAACGAGTTTAATTAATAATCGAATGGCACAGACATGGTCAGGCCTAACTGCCTTAATTAATATGAGAGATTTATTCATCCCTTTGAAAATTTGCAAATTACACAACAGGAATAATTGTACACTATATTTTTCTGGCCAGTCTACCAGATATCCTCTCAGTCCACAGTCCTCTCAGTGCTGGATACCCGCCTTAAGGACTGTCGCCAGCACCGCAAGAAATTCCTGTCATGAATTAGAAGCAGAAGAAGAAAGAAGCAAGAAATTCCTCCAAAATTAATGTATTTTGTTTGGCTCAAAAAATGTTGCTATATCTGCAATAAAATAACCGATTTATGTACAGTTGAAGATACTGTATTGTACCACTCAAAATTTGGTATGAAGCAGAAGTCCCTATAAGTCAAAGTATCCAAATCGCGAGATGCGAGCTTCAGTCAATTTTAAATTCCAATGAAAATTAACACTATTTTTTTAATTAAGACACCAAGTAAAACTGTTGCCATATAACTAACTGATCATGGCCTTTGAATTCCTTGACACAGAAATTAAAAAAAGATTTTGCAGTTGTGATCCAACAGAGATAAATATCAGTGCAATGATGCCATGCAGATAAGGAAAACTTATCAGCAAAAAAATTGTATTCTGAACTTAAATTACCTGCGAAAAAAGAAGAAGAAAAAAGAAGAAAAAGGAAAACCGCCAGATGTGACACTTAGAAAGCTACCTCACGCAGGAGGAGCCCAACACACCACCTAATGCGAATCCCAGTTTTCGTCGTATTTATGAATAAAATGAGAGTCTTAAGTGACTTTGACGAAGAGGACTTTTACAGTTGAGCTTTAATTTTGGAAAAATTGTGATACCGAGAAAAAAGTGTACACATAGGTTTCTGCCTGCATATTTTTGGGAAAACAAATCGCGTAAACAAATATTCTGTATTTCTGGAAACGTTGAACGAATATCGTACTGATGGCAACGTAGAGCAATACAATGTTTCAGGTACAAAGATTCGAAAACTAAAAAACGTTCTAAAAACGGCTCTATAAAGTGAAGTATTATAGAAAGCGCTTGAGAGCGCTCAAGCGCTGACGGTGTGTTATACACTTAAAATTAATTTCTTGGATCTGACTATAATACTGATCCGACCTTATCCAGATTCAGCAGTCTGATAGATATGGTCATTATCAAAGATATTGCGGTTTTAAAATCACAACACAGCCTACCACTGTTAATAGAGCTGTTAGCTAGCGAGATGTATGCTCTGGTAAAACAAAAAATTATATCTTTCAATTTTGAAACAGTATACAATTTCAAATTAAACACTTGCAGTGCACTGCAGTGCACGTCCAACTGTTAAAACTCAAAGAAAATAAGCTGTTAGCAGGATACAAGGAAGTCAATTTAAAAGTCGCATTATATTCTAGTTTTCACTTTCTAAAAATCCAATTCGATTTTAAACTGAAAACTGGCATTGCCACGCCAATTTTTATACCCGGTGCTCGAAGAGTTAGTGGGGTATGTTGTATTTGTGCACAAAGTTGATGTATGTAACGCACAGAAGGAAACATTTCCGACCCCATAAAGAATATATAATTCTTGATCAGCATCAATAGACGAGTCGATAGAGCCATGTCTGTCTGTCCGTCTTGTTTGTCGGCTAGTTCTCAAAAACTATAAGATTTAGAGCCACCAAGTTTTGCCTCCAGACTTCTGTATGCTCACACTAAAACCAGTGTATTTCAAAAATTATCTCCGCCCCCTTCCGCCCCGCTACAATTTTGAAGATGAAAGAAGATAAAAACGCCATTCCGTAAGGAATGACCATATCTATCAGATCACCATGATCCGATTGGATCATTATTATAGCCACAATGAAGAAATTAATTTGCAGTGGCTAAACCCTCCCTGTCCAGCAGCTTTTGTTGTTTTTTTCCACATTCTCATCCACACTCTGCTTCTGCAGTGTGCGGCCTCTGCCTCTGCAGCGTGTGGCTCTATTGGAGGAGGGGGGGGGGGGGCGAGCTAAAAGGGCGTTAGAAGTGATGTAGATGTAGATGACAGGTGAAGATAAAATTTAAAATGTCAAATGTAAAATTCGAAAAAAAAAGTATGGTACAGGTACACTGACTGAGTACCGGTTGTAAAAGTTGTGACGCGTAATATGCGCCTCACACGTCCCTTCTCCTTTTAAAATACCTTTCTCTCACTAATATAAACTAATATCAAAATAGTAAATCAAAAAATATTCTTCGGTTTGGGAGTTATTCATATATCCCCATGGTGCACTGTGTCTACCGCGGTCATTTTAGAGAACAGCGGACACCGCTCTTCTGAGAGAGAAACATCCGGCTTTGTGTATCTATCTTAGAAACTCTTATCTTAAGACAAATAAATTCAAATTAGTGAAATATTCGTAAAGGTTTTAGAAGATCAAGAGATCGCAGATAAGTTTTTTCTCCTTTGCTAATCACGTAACGATACAGCAGAAATCTCCTTTTGTGTACATATGTATAAAAGCTCCTACATATTTACTGACATTTTTGATTATTTATAATGAAATATACATACATAAATATTTACATATATGTATTTATATACATACTAATGTATATAATTTACAAATGTACTTGTACTACTGTGTGTACAGATTTTTGAGCTGTTGCATCTCTGTGTTATCTTCAATTTCATAATTGTGTTTGATATTTGTCGCTTTTATTGCTTACCATTGGAGTCAACTCTCAGAGCTGGATCAGCAATTTTCGTTTCCTCTTTGTGGTGTCATCAGTGTCAAAAATGTCTACATATATACATATGTACATTGAATATATGTATCAAAGCGGCAGCTTTGAATATGAATACATACAAATGCAATACGCTCATAAATACACACATACATTGTTTGTACAGAGGTATTTATGTATGCATCTTATGTAACTGTCCTATCCCTGTTTCGATTATTTAGCCCACCACCTGGGTTAAATATTATTTTTCACAGGTAACATTTTCGCATCAGGTTCGAAGAAATGGGCGAAGATGTTGTTGGTTTTTTTTTTTGCATCGTATACACACGACCGGGGAGATCGTTCATATTTCTGCCACTAAGCAAACAACTCATAGAGGGTGCAAATCGAGTAAAAACTGGCTACCTAATCAGTATATTGGATTGGCTCCCAGTGCCTTCGGTTCTTGATGAGAGAGCCTTCGGCTGAGAGAGTTTGGCGTTATTTATATACATATTTAGATTAAGTTTTTGAGTTACAAATTATAACGTTGATATGAAGTGCTAGTTTGTTTAGTATGGGGGGGAAAGGGGACCACAGCGGCGAAATGGAGATCGGCCGCTGCACTTGAAAAGGAGATTTGTTGTTGTTCTGCGTCGGAGAGATGATTGTCTTTGAAGTGTAGAGTAAAGTCCGTTGGTTTGTGTTTGAATAATCGTTTGTTGGTTCGAGATGTAAGAACAGTTGGTTTGTTGTGCGACCTGGGGGCCTGGGAAGAACCCATCCCTGAAAGGACTGGCTAGCCGGCCGTGCCCCAACACCAATACAGGTTCGTAACAATAATAATATTTAAGAAATATATGAGCATAGAGAGGATACACAAAGTCAACTTATTTATTTTTTGGGGCAAGCTGAAAGGCTCAAGTTTGAAGGAAGGGTATGTGAGCTCAGAAGCAACAAAAAAGTGCCAAACGTCTCAAGCGCTGAAAATGAAAACTCATTTGAAGTCGAGAATAGCTACACGCATTGCCATCATGTATGTATGTACATATGTGTCACCGCACACATGAAATTACGAAGCAGACTTGAAAGGAAAAACAAAACTTTGTTTTTGCGAGAGTCGCTTTGCGTTCAATGCTCAAGAGAGCCAACGCCAAACTCTCTCAACCGAAGGCTCTCTCACCAAGAACCGAAGGCACTGGGAGCCAATCCACTATACTATACGGATTAATCGATTTGCACCCTCTATGAGTTGTTTGCTTAGTGCTTCTACCGTATCTACGTACCCAACGCACACATGGCAAGAGAAGTGCGGTACACACATACCACAACGTCGCCAGCGGTTTGCGGCGAATTCAGTTGTACGGAAACGAATCGATATTTGTGTAACCCACCCAGGAGTCGGAATTGTTTAGTATAAAGCCTAGTGCTCAGATCGAGATATGGAACCGATAAGAAATGTTGTCGCGCATAAACTACTTTATAGTGGCTGTACGCCGGGCAGTACTCAGATCGAAAAAATTAATTGGCCGATTAAATCTAGAAAGCCGATGGTATTTTGTGGGACTCGATGGTATTTTTCTAGCAGTTCGAAAAAGATACATTTGCTTTATGTTCTACCTAGCAAGCAGAGAGTAAAGCAAAAAGCCAAAAATGCAAAAGTGGAAAGATAAAGGAACTCCGTGCTTCTCAACAAACTTGAGGCCATCAAACGACAAAAAAAAGGAAACAATTGTTATATATTAATGAGATTGTATTGAATTTATTTGCATTTTTAATTTGTTTAACTTATTTGAGAACCAGTAGCTTCATGTTGCCAAGACATAGACACGACTGAGCTGTTAACCAAATGTTCTAAGTTTTTTTTCCTTTTGGAACCAAGGACTGCGCCACATCGGCCATCGGCGACGATTTGGATTCGAATGCTGCAGGTTACTGATAGTAGCATCAGATGGTATTGCACTGTTCGCTAGCAAACGGGGTTTCGGATCTGAGTACTAGACAGTATGTACATACGTAAGTATGTACTAGTACCGATCAAATCAGCTAAATTTGTTGACGAAAGAATATTCGGTTTTTTATTCGACAAAAAGTTAGCAGCCGGCTTTTAGCAAAAGAGTACTAAGATCTGAAAACAAAAATTCACATACATAGATACTGAAAGAAAAAGCCACCGATGTTACGAACCCATCTCCAGCGAAAAACTGTACTTTGTATTCAATCTTTTGTCGGAAAGAACACAAAAACACACACCCACACAAGCGCAAGACGTTTAGGAAAGTGCAAAAATGAAGAAATCGTAATCTAATTTAAGAGTAACAATTATATGGATACCATAATATGAAATGAAAAATCCCGTTCCGATAAATGGTGATGGGAGATAAACATCGTATGACATTCCGATAGGTGGTGCGGTGCCATTCGTTGTTCGCCCGCATTCAACAAAACAACAATATTCCATTTCTGGTGTTCGTTCGGCAAACAACTCTTTTATGAGTTCAAAAATTTCAGTGACTTTTTTCTAATATTCAACATAAACTGAAGTACCTGGTCAATGCGGACTCATCGTCTGCGACCAACCAATTTCGCTATAGCGATTAAATAACAAAAACAAAAAAACAATGAAGTCGTTATTCATGACGCTACTCACACATCCTCATGTATGCATGTATGAGCGCGTGGAAGTATCAAAATGTTTTGTATTGTTTTCGATGAACATTTACGCATTAGGGCTTCAATGCTAATAATTCTTAGCTGTTTTGTGGCTGTTATGTAGCGGTATATTTGTGTTATTACCACAGGAGGAAAAATCCTCAAACGACTGGAACATGGAGGATGCAACCGTCATGGATGTGGCGGTCATTAGTGAGTCCGAGGATGAGGATACGGTGGAGAAAGTGACTAAATCTTCCAACAAGGCCGGCGATGTTACCCGAAAAGAAAGTGTCTCCCCCAAAGACATTTCTGACGACGATGTGGTTGCAGTGCCCTTGGATCAAGCGATAGTCGCAAAGCAAAAGGAAATTCTTCGCATGCTGCCGTTCATCGAGGAAGTGAAGAAAGCGTTTGCGTCCAGCCTATCCACGGGACAAGCCTCACGCCTAGACGCCCTCGTCCGGCTTGTGCAGCGAGAGTAAGTGCCTTAAATCGAAGGTTTTACTATAAACATTTCTAAACTTTATTTTCTTAACGTAAAGCATTGTCACCATGTCGACCCTGCTGAAAATCGAGTCTATTGTAATGAAGCTTAAAACGAAATTCGGTGAAGTAAGTGGATGCCCGCAGTTCTTCCAGTTTTTTCCAACTAAATAAAAAATGGATTGCAGGTGGTCCGGAGTAAACAGGGCATTGGTTCCGCATCAGGCAGCCGTCAAACAACCCTCGCCCAAAGACGCTTAAACCAGAAGAGTGAATATACAGATCGTGAACAAGCCGCAGACAGAGAAAGCACTGCCGCAGTCACGAATCAGATCAACAACCACAAAGAAAAGTATTCTGGACAAAACACAAACAAAGGACCGACAAAGCGCAAACAGAAGCCGAGCAGGGATGCCGGTGGTGATACAATATCGATAAGCTCGTCCGGCAGTGAGAGTGAGGAGCCCAAGGAACCGACAAACCGAAAATGTGATCCTCAGAGCAGGCCTGCAACATCGACCGGAGCTTCGACTGCAGGACATAAATCTGTCCCACTTGTCCACTCATCGCCATCGAGTAATGTCGCAGAAGAGGCAGCGCGCAGGTCTTTTGCCAGTAGTTCCCCCAGCTTGCCCTCGAACAAGCCAAACCATAAGAACACAGCAATTGAAGCAAAGACTCAGGGCACAACTTCACATCACAAGAGACCAGATTCTTGCAAGTCGAATACCAGTCAAAAGCCCAAAGAGGACGACAGACCTCCTTTACAAGGAGAAGGTGTACTGGCTGCCATAAGGGCAGCCAGAGAACTGGACAGAGAACAGAAGCAGGCCCGAGAGTTGGCCAATAAAGAGCGGGCCAAAACTAGGAGTTTACAACTCAATGCCGGCGACAATTTGGGATTCTCGCGCAGATCGAATTCTGATCCAGCAACAGCAAAGGCGGCAGTTACCCAGAAATCAGCGCCTCTGTTTACACTTGGCTCATCTGTTCCATGTGATGACGATTCCACCTCAGTGGCGTCAATGTGTCAGTCAAAACCAAACCAGCGGCACCAACAGCAGCAGCCGGCCAAAGAGCCATCAAAAGGTAGTCCTTCACTATGTGATAAAGATGCTAACAGAAGTGAGACTCCAGCCAGTCCACTCTCGGAGGCACGCAAGAAGCTGGCAGCCATGCTGCTGGAAAAGCTGGATCCCCCCGCGGGTGTGGAAGCGGGTCTTGGCGTACCGTGCACATTGCCGCTAGCATCGAACAGCATGGATCCGCGTGGAAGGAATCCCAATTACAACAGTAATTCCTTGTCCACAGCCGTTTCGAATGTTCTTGGCTCCCCGCCACCTCCTCCCCCCAGTGTCACACGCGATACATCGCCAGTGCCGCCAGCGCCGCCAATGAAGGCGGGCTCCTTATGGACACGCATTCCAGTGCCAGGAGCAGGACCAGGAAGAGGAAGCATGGGCTTTGCAAGCCGAGGATCACGTGGGGCGCATGCGCGGCCTCCTCACATTCATCATGAGAACCAGCGGCCTGTATTCTCTGACGGCGAGACACAGTCCTCTGGCCCTGCTCCCCATGTTCCCAATGGCTTTCATGCTGTCGATCCAAGATTGAATCCACATGAAACCACCCGGGATCCACGTGAATCAAGGGATCCTCGGGGTCCACGCTTTCAGAATATGCCACGCCCTAACCATCAGCAGCAGCATCAAAATCAGCAACAACAGCAGCATCAGAAACAGCAGCATAATCAGCAGCAACAGCAGGACTATACTCTATGTAACCCTACGAACTGGCAATCATCCTCCTGGAATAACAATGAACAAATTGTCTTTAATGGTTTACCTGGATGTGGTCCCATCCAGACCCCATCTAGACCCCATTTAGTGGGAGGCAGCTTTCGGGGCGGACATGAGAGCCGTGGTCGTGGTGGTGGCGTCGGCGGCATTAGCCATCGATACATTCTACCAGCCAGAGGACGAGGCGGAGCTCAATATGATGCACCGCGTACATATCGAGAGCATCGTGAGGTGAAGGCCAGAGAAAAGGCAGCAGCCGCTGCCAAGGTGGCCGAGATGCAACGCCTGGCGGAAATCGGGAAGAAACGCCTGCTGGAGGCGGCCGAGAAGCAGCGACAGCAGGAAGAGAGAGATTCTGCGGCCATAACGGTGCCGGTTACGGCATTGCCAGACCTCCAGCTAGACACCTCCTATCGCAACGTCATCGTGAATAATCCGGCCAAGAAGATCGACTTTCGAATACCCAAGAAGACGACGACAGCGGCCACGACAGCCTCGACCACAGTCCAATCAATGGCCATTGGTAAAGGAGGGAAGATCGCCAGATCAACTACGAGTCCACCAGAAAGCAAATCCTCTGATGATAACGACATAGATAAGGATAAGATTACTGATAATGACAAAGATGCTCCTGCCACAGATATCAATTCACCCAATATGGAGAAGGAGAATGAAAAGCAACGGAATAGTCCAAAAGATCTAGAGAAACCTGAAAGAGCGGAGAAAAAGAGTAAATCTAAAGATGCGGAGAAGAAAAAAAATAGATCCAAGGATGAGGATAAATCAAAAAAAGAAGTGGCTCAAACCGCAAAGATTGATAACGACAAAGATAAGGATAAGAGTACTGATAATGACAAAGATGCTCCTGCCACAGATATCAATTCACCCAATATGGAGAAGGAGAATGAAAAGCAACGGAATAGTCCAAAAGATCTAGAGAAACCTGAAAGAGCGGAGAAAAAGAGTAAATCTAAAGATGCGGAGAAGAACAAAAATAGATCCAAGGATGAGGATAAATCAAAAAAGGATGTGGCTCAAGCCGCAAAGAAGGAAACCAAGAAAAAGAAAAAAAAGTTGCAGAAGGAAAAGGACAAAGAAAGCGACAAGAAAGCGACCGCATCGTCCACTCCCGCTTCCACGTCCACCGCTTCATCTGCCTCTACTGCGGAGATTATCGAGCAACAGATAAAATCAATAAATGAGCCCAATGTCGATAATGTTTTTTCTCATTCCTTCTCGGATAATGTGGAGAACGAGCCACCGATGGTCTGCATTTCCCTGGGCAAAGCACCCGAGGGCAAGCCAAAAACGTCAGAGGTACAGCCGGAGGACGCAGCAGCGAAGGTTGACTTGAAGGAAACAAAAACAGAAGCAGGATCGGAAGCAAAGCCGGATAATGCGCCTGCGGCTGCAGCTTCGACTGCCAACGACTCTGAGTCGGATGAAAAGGTACGAAAACTTTCCAAAATGAAGATTGTCCTGGGTCCGAATGGCCACAGTACATTCCTGGTGAACGATGACGACTCCATGCTGCTCGACAACTTTGGCCAGAAGTTTAAAGTAAAACACAATGGAGATGAAAATAGGAATGGTGGTGGGAAGAAGGAGGGGTCCCCAGTTAATTCACAAATTCATAAGATTATGCGACGCCGCTGTTCAATGGCACCGACGGCCAGCCGTCCACTCGTAGATAAGGCCTCGATCTTTAATGGCAGCAGCCTGATGTACGAGGACCTCACCGAACAGAAGCGCAAGGAGGAGAAGCAGTCGCTGAGGGCACGCCATCTGGCGAATATATTCGAAAAGACCAGCGATAACTGTCGCGTCTCCACTCAGAATATTATCAGTGGAAAGCGTCGAACACGTTGCATACCCGACTGCTCCTTCAACGAAACGATGTTAAGTCGGAATCGCTTCGGTTTGGGTCAGATAGTCAGAACGGCGAAGGAGACACCCGACGAAAAGAAGCGTCGAACCACGCCAGTGCCTCCGTCAGTAAAACGCAAACGAGGTAGACCTCCCGTCTCCGTCAAGAATGATATTGTGCAAGACGCAAAGAGACCACGTCTGGAAAAAGCAAAGGACTCCGAAGAGCAGTCTGTTGCCCCAACAATACCACCGCCCTCACCTCCTCCGACTGCGCCTACGCCATCGATCAGGATTCGGGCACGCAAGAGGAACGAGCTGGANCCGTCGTCGGACTACATGCTCCTGGAGTGGCTTGTCTTCGCGTTCCTCGAGAAGCAGTCGCTGAGGGCACGCCATCTGGCGAATATATTCGAAAAGACCAGCGATAACTGTCGCGTCTCCACTCAGAATATTATCAGTGGAAAGCGTCGAACACGTTGCATACCCGACTGCTCCTTCAACGAAACGATGTTAAGTCGGAATCGCTTCGGTTTGGGTCAGATAGTCAGAACGGCGAAGGAGACACCCGACGAAAAGAAGCGTCGAACCACGCCAGTGCCTCCGTCAGTAAAACGCAAACGAGGTAGACCTCCCGTCTCCGTCAAGAATGATATTGTGCAAGACGCAAAGAGACCACGTCTGGAAAAAGCAAAGGACTCCGAAGAGCAGTCTGTTGCCCCAACAATACCACCGCCCTCACCTCCTCCGACTGCGCCTACGCCATCGATCAGGATTCGGGCACGCAAGAGGAACGAGCTGGAGAAGCTCACCGAATACATTTCATCGATGTACAACGGTGAGGAAGTGACACGGGCCAGTGGCAGAAGAGCATGCACGGTGGCACAGGCGCAACGGCATTCAGTGACGCCAGAGGAATACGTAGAGACGATAACCACATCGCCATCGTCATCGAGATCTCCTTCCCCCATTCGTAGGCCCATCCCGAGAGAGATTCGAAATATGGCACGTCGCGGTCGATCCTATGGAACCTCTTCCATGGACAGCGGCGGCATTAATCGAGCATCAACAGTCTTACGAAGAAATCAAGTGCGAGTGAGGAAGTGTTGTGTGCGTCTGCGGCGTTTCCCAATGCCACAGAAAAATGCCCCGAATGTCCCGAATCAGCCAACGCCACAGCGAAAGGAGCAGCAGAGGAAGCGAACCCAAAGATCAGAGCCAAATATAAATCCCGAATGGCATATCAACTCCATTGGGGCCGTCGAATGTGTTGTTTGCCACAAGAAGATCGGTAAGAATCCCTCTGGCCACTATTTGCAGTCCCACAAGGAGAACTACATCTCCCGGCTGGCACCCGGCATGCTCGACGAACTTCGCGCTGAGCGGTGCAATCAGTTGCGGCCAGCGGCGGGTGACCCTACCAAGAAAAAGTACGATTACAGGTGCCCCTTCTGCTTGAAGGAGCTGCATAACTTCATGTTTAGCAACATTGCGTCGCATCTGATTGAGCATACGGGCGAGAGCAAGGCTCAGTGCTCGTCGTGCCGGCAACCGATACGGCGAAAGTGTCTCATAAATCGGCATCGCAGGTACTGTACCCCCGACGCCCAAATAGTTACCGACAAGAGAACCTGCCAGCTGCCCCTTACTCTGCATGTGTGTCCTTTGTGCGATTACGTGCAGACGGGGCAGGAGAGACGAGACGCCCACCTGGTAAAACATCATCGGCTGAGTAAGGAGCTGATCGCAGCCATGGAACTTGAGAGGGTCACCCTCTGCTGTCGTTCCACCGATAAAAAGCCTCCAGCAGACGAAACCAAATCTGAATCGGCACCGAAAATCTCCGTTCCTAAGGTGATATCGCGACGCGACTCGGTCATGTGTCCGAAGACCCCCAAGAAGAGGATTCGTTTCAAGAAACAACTACGAAAGCCCGAAAATTCGCCCAAACGGGAGCACGAGTCCCAAGAGGAGGAGGGGCAGGATGGCATGCCAGTGTCACAGGAGATGGACGAGATCCAGGTGCCCTCAACTGTAGGCCAGGAGGATGTGGCCGCCGAGTCCATATTGGTCGTCAACGAGTGCATCATGGACTTTGATGCCGAATTGGAATTGGACATAAAGCAGCTGGGTTCCCAGATGGAGGAGGATATCGAGCAGGCGGAGTCTCGGCTGCATGAGAAGCCGATGGAGGAAAAGCCAGTTTTGACGGAGATTATTCCAATGGAAACGGCAGAAAACACCGCCACGCAGGAATCGCAAGCCAAACCGTTAGAAGAGGAGGCCTCCTGCTCAAATGATATCCGAGAGACAGTTGTGCCCGCACTCCCTGTGGAGGTGGAGATTCGCAGCCTGTCCGTGGATCCCCTCATGGGCATTGGCAGCGCTGATTCCGACAGCGGAATGGAATTCGATGTGGGTGGGAATGATTTGGACACCGCATCTGCAGCCACATCGCGAACAGTTACAGGCCCCGGCCTTAAGGACGTCGACGATGATGGAAACAAGAGGGGCCCCGTGGACTGGGAAGATCTCGTGGAAACTGGCTCTCAGGCCAGCGATGAGTCTCGCTCCAAGTCGAAATTCCAGATTTTCAACCGTTTCTATTCTCGTCTCACCAACGGAACGGCTGTTGGCGTGGGAGGAGGAACAGGATCAGGAGGAGTAGGAGTAGGAGGCTCACTACGTCGGCAATTATTCCGTACGACACAATCGACTGCAAGCAACAGCAGCGAATGCGATCCGAGTGAATTGATGCCTGAAATGCGAGCCCTGGAACCAGAACCAACAGCAAAAGCAGCACGAAAGACACCAATAAAGGCGGTACCGCATTTGGTTCCAATTTCCTACCCAACTGCTGCTTCAAAAGCGGCGCCAACTGTTCCCGTAGTTAAAGCAATAGCAGCAGCAACCCCAGTAGAAACCACAGCAATGTCGGCGCCCACGCGCGTGGAGAACGTGGCCTATCGCATGAGGAACGTCAAGGTGCCGCAGAGTGCCGTCTACTGTTGCCAGTATCCTGGCTGCTCGTTCCTCTTCTCGAATGAGCGCGAGGGCCTAGAGCGACACTTTGCCGCCGAGCATCCGCAGGTGTCCTGGAGCGGCAGCTGTTTCGCCTGCATCACGCAGGACCCGACAAAGGCGCTATTGATGCCACCGAGCTGCATTGCAGATGAGCTGCGTCACCTAGCTGAGGAGCATATGCCGGCAGATGCAGCGAATCCACCCGAGAAGCTTCCAATGCCCAAGCTTCGAGTGCGTCGCTTCAGTGGCGATTTACTCACGAATGCTGCAAGGCAACAGCAACATCAACAGAAAACTGTCTCCATCATCCCTGCGGATATGGATGGGGATACATTAACCAATGTGATGCTCAGGGATCTGCTGAAAGCCACGCCACGGCCAATCAACCAGCAGGCGGACTTAAATGCCTCCGGACTGGGGGAGTTTCTGTGCGCCAAGTCTGTCACTCCGCCTCCATCATCTGGCAGGGAAACGGAAACTCAAGGTCCAACTGCTACAAGTGGAAATGGGAATGCAAAAGAAAATGGTGCAGTTCTGTATAATAATAAGGAACATACGGGCTTACAAATCGTGACTGTGTGCCATTTGGATTCGTTGCCCAGTTTGCAGCCACTGAATGAATCAGCAGAGCCTGCGCTGGCAACTGTCAACAATGGGGATTTTATGGTCACCCAAAGCATCTCTGAGAACCACATTAACATTTGCCTGGAGCCATCAGTAGCGGAAATGGTAGCAAGAGAGCCAACAGGATCAACAACCGGCAGCACCATCCAACCGATTGAGCTCTCGGATAGTGACAGTGGCCGCAATTTTATCCATTTAGCGCAGGATCGTTTCCGTTGCATGGCCGTTTCATGCGGCTATTGTGCCCACACAGTGTTGTGCATAAGGGAGCACATGAATTTCCATCGTTTTAGCTTTGGGAGCACCGACTATCTAAAGTGCGGCTACTGCACCCATGTGGCCAGCGATGTAGATGACTATGTGCGTCATGGCGTCTATGTGCATGGCCTGGCGCCGCGCCATGAGCTGCATGCAGACACCACAAGGCCGGCCGGCGAGATGTCTGTTAGCCAACAGATACGGGAGGCGCTCAATCAGCGAAGGAATGCATTGCCGGCGACGGTACCGACGGTAGGGACAGCGCCAGTGGAACCGTCAAGCAGTTCGAAAGAAACGACTCCAAGGGGTGGAGTAACAATTTCCAAAGTACTGTACGATTATCTACAGCCCACAGGATACACGGGTGAGTACTGTGGATCCGTCATCCTTTAGTCTTTTATCTTGAATCTTCTCCATTAATATCCACAGACGACAATCTGTTCGAATGTCCGGAGAGGACCTGTGGGGCCCGACTGACAAGCGAATCGTTTGTCAATCACATCCTCTACCACATACGCAGCTCCAGCTCCCGTAGGGAAACGGAGCTGGTCAAGTGTCGGTTTTGTCGAGCGTTGGAGATGCCGTCAATGCTGAGGCAGCACTTGCTGACGCAGCACGCCCGGCACAGGTACATTTGCAGCCAATGCTTGGAGACGGCCGCCAGCATGGAAATGTTGACATTCCATGTGCAACAGGTCCATCCGCAGGTGCTTGGCCAACCCAATCACTCTTTCAAGACGATTCAAGTCTTCCTGCAAGAGGGCAACGGCAAGAGGGCTGGCCAAAGACCCACGGTCTGTCATGTGCTTGGGCTGCTGATGCCCTTCGAGCACGCACAGTTGCAGAACGTTAAGCACAGAGTCATTCGCGAGCTGAAACTGCGTGAGGCTGGCACAAAGAATGTGTTTCGCTCGTCGGAGGCGAAGCTGCTGCCCAGCTGCGACACTGTGTTGACTGTATCACTGCATTGCGCCGAGTGTCTGTTTGTCAGCAAGGAGGTCGTGGACATGCAGCGACACCTGGCCATGCACAAACTGCATACGATCAATGCGTTTACAGAATCACAACGCCTTTTGGAGGCACAGCCTAGCACTGCCGAGAAGCAGCCAACCTCCGAGATTACCCAACCAGCTCCGGTGGTAGGAGATGTGGCCGCTGTAGCCACAGATACAGCCACTGCCACTGCCGCCGCTAAGGGGGGGATCCATAAGGTGGTCAATCCCTATGTGCTGTACGTACCCTCACAGAGTCGCTTTGTGTGCGGTGCATTGGGCTGCAGCAGACACATGCCATCGCTAGAGGCCCTCTGTAAGCACATGACGAAGGAGCACATGTACACGGATGTGCTGTGGTGCAGCTTCTGTCGCACTCGTCTGATGCAGCCGCAGCCCAACAAGATGTCAATCGCGAAGTACTTGAGGCATCTATCAACCCACAAGCGTCACATGTACCAGTGCGGAGACTGCGGACGCGCCAATTCCGAGCGCCACTTCATTGAGCGGCACATCATTGACCGTCACCCGAATCTCAATGTGGATGTGGTGATACACAGGCAGATTGCACGGCTACAGACGACAGCACGTTGGATCAAGTTGCGTGAGTACCGAGCACCTCCCAACCCCCACTGATTGAATGCCTCGAATTGAATCTAATCAGATGATTTCCTTTACAGCCAAGCTATCCAGGAACCCCAATCACAATCAATTCATCTGCAACCTGTGCCAGCACTTGGACAATTCAATGGAGAAGATAGCCGCACATGCGGAGGCTGTGCATGGCATTAGAATTCCGTACATTTGCTCTGTGCCGAAGTGTAGTTTTGGGTCAAATGAGCCCATACCCGCCATTCAGCACATGCTGGATGAACATCCGGATGTGCAGGTGCAGCCGGCGCTTATCTATCAACGCGCTCTGGCGCGGACAAGGCAAACGATGGGCTTCTACTGCTGTAAGTGTCGGCTGGCCTTTGCCAGCTTCCAACGGACCGTGTCTCATCTGAAGGAGAACCATGAGTGCCTCTGCCAGTACAAGTGTGCGCATTGTGACTTCAATTGCCAGCAGGAGCGCGGCGTTATCATGCACATGATGGAAAACCATCCGGGCCTCAAGGGGCTGGCCGAGTGCCAGTTTGAGCGCGTGTTGGCCGACCTGCCCGATTATATGGCCTGGGCCGAGGCCCATCCTATTGAGGAGTCACAGCAGCAAGAGCAAGGCGATCAGCAGCAGGCCGATCAGCAGCAACAGATGGACGAAGACCAGGAGGATGAGCCACACCAGGAGGAGAACGAGGAATCAGGGGAACCAGAAGTTCAGGAAGTGCAGCAGCTTCCACCCGCTACCAATCCAAAAATCACTGAGGTGATCGACCTCCTCGACTCGGATGATGAAGCGCAGACAGAGACTGCAATAGCGAATCGAGAACCGTTCAGCGAGGCCTTACATGCAACCATTTCAGAGCGGAATAGAATCCCGATCGAATCCCGTTCGGATAATAATTTCTATGTTTTCAGTTGCGGCCATTGTGGGTTCATTGCAGGGAATCTGGCACAACTCAAATCCCAACACTGGGCCCAGACGCATCCGAATCAAGCATTCATATTCCGAGTGCAGCCGCTATTGCTGTGCTGCCTGTGCAAGTCCTTCAAGAGCAATGCCAACAAGATGCGCGAACATCTAATAACAACGCACCGACGCAGCCGCCTGATCAAGTCGATCGGCTGTGATGTGCGACGGCCGAGGGAGTGCGGTTTCTGCAGTTACCAATACCAGGGCTGGGAGGATCTCATCAGCCACATGGAGGAGGCGGCCCATCAGATAAATGATCTCAAGAACGTGACGGAATCGGGCCTCGAGGTGCTGCTGAAGCTGAACCGAAGCGAAAGCGGTGCCGAGTACTATAAAATATGCAGCCTCTGCAAGAAGGTGCTGCCCGATCAGATAGCGATGTACCATCACGGACAGCAGGAGCACGCCGATCAGGGCTTTTGCTTCACGAATGTCCACCCGCTGGTCTATCACTGCTTCTACTGTGTGTTCACCTCGCTGGAGGAGATGTCCTTACTGCGGCACATGATCACCCACTTTGGGGGCTTCCAAAAGTGCCACCATTGCGAAATGCCCCAGCCCGGTGGCTTCGAGCAGTACATCCAGCACTGTTACACAAGCCACCACGAGGAAGTTGGTCGCTTTCGGCAAGTGTACACGTACAAAATGATATTGCGCTACCTCCTGCAGACGGCCTACCAATTCCAGAACGGCCTGATCATAAACAAGAACAGTCTGCTCAACACACGCCACAACAACGATACTCTGATTCGCCAGCTGTACGAAGAGCTGATGGCCCGGGCCGAGCGTCCGCCCATTCCCCGGATTCATATAGGTCTCAAAAATGTGGCAACCATTGCTAATGGGGTGGAGCCTGTGGCAAAAAAAGCCAAGATCATCAGGAGACGCCAGACCCTGGGTCCCGATGAGCTAATCAGGGCGAGGCTCTTGGATGAACCAAGCTTTAATCAATCAACACCAATAGCTGCAGCAGCCGCAGCAGTAGCCCTCGCCCCAAGCTCAACCCCAGGCCACAGCAGCAGACCAGCGAATATTATTTGGTCTACATCGTTCACAGGAGCTAATCCTGCAACTCGACAGCACCCGCCGCCATCAGCAGAAGCAGCAGTAGTAGTAGCAGAGGCAGCCCCTAGTCGGCAGAACACAGCTGCTTTAAAGGAGAGCATAATAAGGAACCTTAAGCGACGCAACAGTGTTGTGGTATTTAGTCGTCCCTAAGGATGCAGGACTATTACTTTTAAGATTAATGCTCGATTTATGTTTCAAAGTTAAGAATATTCATACAATAATTAGTTAAGATTTGCCATTTCTGAAACGGCCTCGAGTCACGCGGTCTCTTTACACTCGAGAGAAGAGATGTTGTGCTAGTTCCAAACTAAACGAGAAGGGACGTGTGAGACGCTTCTTACGCGTCATAATTTTTATACCCGGCACTCAGTAGTACATCTGCACCTTCGCGGTGTTTTGTCAAATTTTAAATATTTTCTTCATGTGTCATATACATCTACAAAACTACTCACACCAACACGCTCCTTTAGCTCGCCCCCCTTCCCTAGACCCACACACTGCAGACTCGCGACAGAGGCAGAGGCAGCGCCCGCACACAAAAAAAAAAACAAATATAAGCTGACGGACGGGGTGGGTTAAAAGTCGGCAGAGGCAGAGGCCGAGTGAAGCAGTACCGGGTATAAAACCAAAACATTCAACAACAACATATTTGCTTGTTCTTAAGAAAGATGAAGATATTTATTGCTACATTTGTAATCCAAAGTTAACCTATATCCAAACGATTATTACGAGAAGGCACGATTATTACGATGATTACGGATCCATAATGGGTCCAGGTGAGCTATAGGGGGGGGGGGGGGGGGGGGGGGGGGTGGGGTTATTTCTCTCTCCCCAGCTACCGCCTTAACCTTAACTTACCCAAGATAAACAAGGAAAAACAATACACATTAAATTGTGCTAGTTTTAAGCGTACTTTTATACCCAAAGAAAGAATTAATATTCCGATTATAATTATTATTATTCCTCACTGACTGCACGCTCCATTGTATTGGAACTGGAAGGTGGAAACTGCCTGGCCCTGACGCTGGCGGACACTGGCGCATCGCAGTTGATTGTGGTACTCGCAAGGCGTGGCATAGGTCACCAGCTGATGGTTGCGCAGCACACAGACGGGACGATAGTAGCGCGGGCAGCTATACTCGCAGCTATCTTCATCCTCATCCACGGGATTTTTGGCAGCTTTTAGCAACAGCAACTGCACGTCATCGTCATTGTCATCCTCATCCTCATCCTCCTCCTCTTGCTCCGGCGAATTATCATCATATCCATCGTTATCCATCCATTCCTCCTCCACTGATGTGTGCCTCGTTTGCACCACTTTGCCCAAGGATATGGATTGCTGGGCGATGACAAAGAGAGCTGACAAAAGTAATAAAAAACGCATGTCTGCGTGTGCTTTTGGTGTGTGTGTCACTCGACTAAAGACTGACTGGCTTCCTGGAGTCGTACGTTCCTAAACTTAAATGCTTCTTACTCGTAAATACGACAACACCATTTGCTGTAGCACCCACAGTTGTGCAAATAGTTGTATACTATGACGAAGTTCGTGATAAAGCTGCTTAAGACTGTATAGAGAACATGAATATTCAGTGTATCAAGGTCAGAGGCACACTGTTGTCTGTCGTCTTAGATTACAACATGAATATACCTGAAGGAGAACAAAAGCTTTGGCTCCACAGAACTCTTGGAATGTATTTTTGCAGACGAAGAGCTTTGAGCTCGTATTCAAAATTAAAATATAAAAATACTAAAAGATAATAATTCAAATTTGTGGTGTGTGTGCGTATCTATATCTCATCCATGTAGCCATGCTCGTAAGCGTGACGCACTACCTTGAAGATCTCATGGTTGGCCACGTCGCCGCCAATGTCGAGCGACAGCTGATGGAAGGACGGACTATGCATGTCCGTCTCAAAGAGCCTGGAGAGCTCCGCACAATCGGTTTCATTGCTCAGCAGCCAGGGCAGGAAATGCATGACGACCATTGCCCCATAGAAGGCGTACCGCTTGAAGTGAGCCTCGAAGCGCTCAAAGCTGTGAGTACAAGAAATAATTAGTGCCAATGGGGTGTTCCATTACACCCACCTATAGTCGGAGAGCAGCTGCTGCACCCGTTCTTCGGTGAGCACATCCTGGTTACGCTGCAGCACCAGCTCCAGCATTTCGATCATTTTCTTGTGGTACTTCTTCAGAAGATCGGCGAAAATAACCTCACGCTCGTCGGAGGGCGTGTTCATGTACATGAAGAAGCTGAGATCTATGGCCGTGGTGCTGAAGCGCAGCTCCTGGAAATCGATGGCCTTGATGTTGTCCACCGTGCCAGCGTCGTCATAGTGGAAGAGCACATTATTCCGGTTGTAGTCGCCATGCAGGAATGTGCAGAAGTGGCTGTCCGGCTGTGACTCATCGAAGGACGAGGTGCGTATACGCTCCATGAGCAGTGCTGGCTGGGCAAAGTACTTCCCGCGCAGTCGTCCCAGGGCTGCGGCAAAGCCCTCATCTTTCTGCGGCACCAGTAGCTGCTCCTTCTGGCGATCGTAGAACCCATAGAAGCGGTCAAAGGCTACGCGATAGAGCACTTCAAAGATGCCCTTGCCCGTGCTGCTGACAAATGACATTGGCACCACACCAGAGCGCAGGCGCTCGTACACTTGCGGCTGCAGGATGCGCGTGGCATAGCCGAGGGCATGGAAGGGGCCAACCAGGCCAACCATAGCCTCCAGTTGATCACGGCGCAGAACGAGGCGAGGACCCAGCTCGTAGCCATCTTCCTTGAGATGCTTCAAAGCTAGCACTGACTCGCAGCTGGAGCTCAGTCCTGAGAAGTCATAATAATTCGGTCACACAATACACAATATTGCGGCCGGACCTTACCATCGATTTGTCCGTATCGGGCGGCATAGGAGCGCGGCACCCAACCGGTGACCACATCGCTGCTGAGGTGGCTGCTGCGCAACAGGTGCTCGTAGGCGGGCAGGATCTCGGCGTAGGCGAACACCTCGTTGGCGAACTGAATGTACGAGTTGCTCGATTTCCGGAACTGTTCCGTGCCCTTCATGAACTTCACCAAAACCACCTCCTTCTGCTTTCTATCGGCTATCTCCAGCTCCAGCTGCACGTTGTACAGGGCGGACATGAACCCGTCCAGGCCAGTGGAGCATTCCACGCTGTGCGACACCAAGGTCGCACCCGATCCAAAGTACTTAAAGATGTCGTACACCAAGTACCGCTCAATGTAGTCCAATTGCTGTTGACTGGTTGACATTTTGACTGTTCTCCTGCAATTGAATAAGTTCAGTGTCCTATTCTTGATTCTTTTTGTTTCCGTCAGTTGTTTGACCCCTCTTGCACTCTCTCTCACACACACCCTTACGTTGTTGCAGCGATACTGGCGATCAGAAGGCGACTGTTGAATCTAATTGGAGCGCTGGTTTTATATGCGTGTACACATACACGAGTGTCCCACCCCCTTTAGCATCCAATGATGTTGATCTAATGGAATTTAATCAAGATACACGTAAAGGCATAGGGACCTCCACGGAGAGCAACAACAATTTGGAGCGTTTGAATATATCACAGCTGTGTGTGACGTGACTATCAGACTATCGCCTATCGTTTGTCGGCATTGCAATTGTCTGGCTTGTTCGCTTTTACGAAAATTAAGAAGTAAACTAAACCGATATAATATTTAACTGAATTTTTGGTGGCGGAAATAGCCAATTTTCAAGTAATTGTTGTCATAATTGTTGTGACGCGTGACTGATGCAGCTGTGACTTAGAAATACTCGTGACAGGTAGCAGATGAGCATTGAACTCCCCAGCCCTGGTGTGTGTGCACATAACAATAACACTGTGAGCCGCTTCCAGATAGTTATCTTTATTAATCATATTGTCGGGTGCAAAAGTCTTAAGTAACACAATGGGTAAGTCATTTATGTGGCCCAGGGGAAAACATTACCCAAAACCGACTACTCTCGTTGTCATCAGCGCCTTGTTCCTCCCCTCCCAATTGGAAGCAATGACGCTCTAAGATTTTGTTTTTATTTAAAAATGTTAAATTACAAAAAAGTTTGTATCACAATTAGTATTATTTTTGTTTCATCCATTTTCGCTGTCGCTGTGGTTTAATAGAAAAGTTGTAAATTCAATGGATCGATTGCGATCGATCGTGTGATGAAATCGGGGGGAATGCAAAGGTGCCATCCAGCCTCCCTGCCGCCCAGCATAATTCAATGGGCATGTCGTCGCTTGCCTGTGTTTGTTATTGGGAAGAGGGAATTAGTGAAGCAAGGGATCGGGATGCTGCTGCTGCTGGTTGCTACTCACGACCATTACAGTGGCGTCCGTAGAAACCGGGATGGCACTTGCACTTCTTGTTCGTTATGCAGGTGCCGTTGCGGCACTTGCAAATGGAGCGTTGCTTGCGTCCTATCTCGCAGTGCATGCCGCTCAGTCCGGTCGTGCAGCGACACATGTTGTTGCCGATGCAGCGGCCTCCGTTCTGGCAGGGAATCACGCACTTGGCTGTAACACACAGGGCCGCAGAAAAAATGGGACTGTCAGTCACACACACACACACACACACAGAGGATAACATTTACTCACAGTACTCGCAGTGCAGGCCATAGTATCCCTTGGAGCACTGGCATTTGTCCTTTTGTATGCACTTGCCGCCATTCAAGCACTTCTCCTTGCAAATACCTGAAGAGAAAACACACAGAGTGACCACCAATGAGTAACATATTCCATTTGAATCTTCTTCATTTGCAGCCGCAATGCTGAGAAGCGTCCTCTTTTGTCCGGAAACTCGTCTACTGTCCGTGCGATGCCTCAGCAACATAAAAGCATCATCCTCCTCAGCAGAATCTGAAGATGGAGCTGACAAACCTTTGCGTCCCCGTGCCAATGCCCTGACCGATGAAATAATACGCGTCGATCATGCCGGAGAACTGGGCGCCGATCGCATCTACGCCGGACAAATGGCTATACTGGGGAGCGGACCCATGGGCAAGACTATTGGACATATGTGGGAGCAGGAGAAGTGTCATCGTGCCCAGTTCGAGCAGCTCATCCAGCAGCATCGAGTCCGTCCCACAGTCATGACGCCCATCTGGAATGTGGCCGGATTTGTTCTGGGCGCCGGTACCGCTTTAATGGGCGAGAAGGCGGCCATGGCCTGCACCGTGGCAGTAGAGACGGTCATTGTGGAGCACTACAATGATCAACTGCGTCAGATTATGGAATCCCCAAATCCCGACAAGGTAGGACATCTTATTGTTTTTTTTTTTTTTGGACTAAATCGATGCTGAATTAACTGCAGGAACTGCTGGAGACAATCACAAAGTTTCGGGACGAGGAGCAGGAGCACCACGACACCGGAATCAATTGCGGGGCAGAGCAAGCGCCCTTCTACCAGGCAATGACCGAAGTCATCAAGTTCGGCTGCAAGACTGCCATTGCCATTTCGAAGAAGATCTAAAATATACGTTTCCACATTTTGTAAATACTGTGCTCAGAATAAGGACCGAAAGTTATCTGTCTGTCGTCTACCCTCTACAAAGTACCATGTCTACGCACCCTACGCCCCACGCTCCACGCTCCACGCTAAGCATTAAAGATAGACTGAATCGTTAAATTGTTGCAGCAAAGTGTACTTACCACCTTCGCACTGGGTGCCCTGATAGCCCTCCGGGCAGGTGCAGACGGACGGCGCCGTGCAGTTACCACCGTTGAGGCATTGTGGGAAACAGAAGGCCGTCTCGCAGTACATACCAGTGTAGCCCACATGGCACTTGCAGATGTGATGCTCGTTGCAGTAGCCATTCTTGCCGCACTTCAAACTGCATTCTGGATCGGGAGCTTAAGTTTTTTTAGTTTAGTTCCATCGTTCACATTACAACACTCAACATAACATTCAACATAAATTGCTGAGAGCTAGTCCCTCAAATTAAATAGAGCAGCACTTAAACAGCAGCCCCACGCGCAAAGGACAAAGTAGCGTACGACAGTCAGGGGAGATGAATGTACATATATGGGCATAATGGATGATAGATTCAAAAGCGTTTTGGGCATGACAATATTCGAATGAACCTTTCTAAATGTAAATCTCATTCGAATTTAAAATTGAAAGGAGTGATTTTAAAGATAAAAGTACAGCAGGAAAGATATTTCGGCTTTATCTATGTTTATCTTTCCGACATATAAGTCTCTCTGCTGTTTATTTCTACGAGCACTAACTCTTCAAATTCAAGTACTTCTTACTGTGATATCCTTTTAAGAACAAACTTAGGCATATATAGACTCAGGAAAATGGATGGGGTTGGGTTGCTAGTAGATTGAAGTGGCTTTAAGCTTAAGACATGGCGAAGGCGATAGATATTACAAGGAGCGGAATGGAGAATGGCATTCGAAGTAAATGTGAGATGGTGGTGGTGATGGCAAGCATTGGGATCTACATATGTGATGCATGCCTGGTGTGGATATTTGTCTATTCTAGATACTACAATTACACTAGATAAAAAGCATTTTGGTTGATATATCATATACACTACCTTGCAAAGTTGTTAGTGAAGTAGGGTTGGAAGCGTCTATATCATACACACCTCTATGGGCGCATTCCTTTTTGAAGTTGAGGCGAATGGGTGTGCCTGAGAGCGGCTTGTTGTTGCGCGTCTGGATCTTGAGACCCACATTGAAGGAGGCGGTGCCCGAGCTGTTGCCAGTGCAGGGCAGGAATATGCTAAAATCTAGCTTGGAGTGAGGTTCGTTTGCCGGATCGGATCGGTTTGCATGACCTGGCCCCCGTTGTACGTGAGCCGTGGAACATGAATAACTTACTTTTTTGCTCCTGCGGTATCCGTCCGCTCTTGCGGATCGACAGCGTTGGCGCCTTCAAGATGCTGTCATCCATCGTCTGCAGCCGATCAAAGTCATAGAAGTACCTGCGTCTGCCCGACTTCCACGTAAAGTTCACGTAGTTCACCTCGGACGGTATCACCAGGAAGTTGTACAGGGTCGTGTCCCGCAGGTCGTTCGTCACCAAGCTATTGTGTATGGCATAGATGCGATCCGAGTAGCCCTGCGGAAAGTAAAGAGCTACAAGGGCCAAGGCGGATTCATGGATCCATTTCAGTTTGATCTTTCCTGGGAAGGGGCGGGACATGCTCACCGCTTAGCATCTTTAGCTGCTGCTCATTGATCCACAGCGAGATGCCGTTCTCCTCCATACGATTGTGGCGATTGTTGCCGTTCCCATTCCCATTGCCGTTGCCGCCCTGCTGTTTCTTCCTTTGGCCCCGGCGCGGTCCATGGCCAATGTTCGCCTCGTTCTCCGTGAAGCTGTCGATGCCGTCACTGGTGTTACTCCCGTGATTCTCCTCCGAACTCGACGAGTCAGCTCTTCTGTTGTTGCTGTTATTGTTGTTGTTGTTGCTGTTGCGATTGTGGTGCTGCCGACACTCGAGTTGTCCGATGCAGAGCAAGGTATGCACAATCAGCACCAGATAGAACCACTTGACCAGGCACCCAAAGCTCTGTTGTGTCATATTTCCCTCCTTCTATGCAAGAGCCAATGAAAACAAACAATTGGAAAATTAATAAGAATGATGAAGCTATCTGGCAAATGGGTTCCCTATCCAGGCACTGCCAGCTCCTACATCCAGGCCGGGCAAGTGTTTGTTTATTTTTCTTTTTGCCATATTTGCAGACCCTCCAGTGAGCTATTTGCGTTTCGGATTCGTTACTGTGGGTTGGGCAAAAGATTTATATTTGTGGAGCAAGCACTGAATACTGCTATACCCATAAGAATCATTAGGTCCATAAAGGATGGAATGATGAGTCTCCAAAAGATGGTTATATCAACGCAGGCATTTATGCGTGTATTTATTTATGCACAATTTAGACCGGAAACGAATTTTTCTGGATGTTACAGAGATCTACACTAAATCTAGATTATTGAATATGACCTCTGTGTATATTCGTCATATAAATAATCTAATTTCTGCTTGTCTAAATATCCATTAATATTTTAATAGAATAGAGATTAATGTCACTAATTTCTCACACAATGTACGAGCATACGAGGCACTTCATTGTACACAATATAATAGCCCCAACTCCAGCTGCAGACTTCAGATGCCGAAGAGCGAGAGATAAGAGCGGAGGGTGAGAGGGTTCGAGTGTGAGAGAGCAGGTACAAAGTTGTTAGCACTTTGGCTGGTGTGAAGTTACCCAAGTCAACGACGAGGCCCTTCAGACAGAAGGCCAGACGATGCAACGCACTAACGACAAGTGAGTGGACAGACGGGCGGACGGACTGAAGGAGGAGGAATAAACGGGCTGGGGACAGCAGCAGTGCGGACCAAGCGATCGATCGAGCAGCCACTAATCGTTGTCTGCCCATCACGTATGAATGGGTTGAGGATGAGGATGAAGCGAGAGAAAAACATTGATGGGCAAGAAACAAGTTAAGCTGTCTTAATAAGATCAAACATGGCGATTATGGGGAATTACTTGGAGATAATGAAATCTGCCTGGCCTTAGCCAGTACCAACCAACTCTACACAGCGGATGGAGAGTGGAGAATGGAGATGGGATAAATCTTTAGGGAGTAAAGAGTGGAGTGTGCGACTGACTTACTCCCAGGGAAATGATTTGATTAAGTGAACTAATTGGTATTTCCCAGAGCTCTGGAGGGCTCCACCCACGTAATTGAATTGTTGGGTAGTTTCGTCTTGGGGTGGACTCATCCAGTGATTGTACACGGAAATGCTTGGGCACATACATTTATACGCACACTTATGTATGTACATCCGTGCATGTGTATGTAATTAATCGTACAACGCAATATACGATTATTGGGATGACACAACCTGAACGGGACCCACGACAGTGGTGCGATCGAGATCTGATTTGGATTCGGCCCCAATTCCATCATTTGTTTTGAAATTATTTTATTTATATTTCTAACTAATTAAAGCTCAAATGATAAGGGGTCAATGGTCACATCTGAATCCAAATTGGAATCAAAGCTACAATAATAATGTGAAGGGAAAACAAAATCGCAATGGGAAATCCAACGGTTTTTTAAAAGATGATTGGACTGATCGGTAAAGATATTTCGCATTCCCAAATCTCGATTGTAGATGTCTTTGATCTCCATTCAAGTGAAAGGGAAATTGCACAAAAATTTGTACATATATTGATATGTGTGTACATACAAATGTACATACGCCTTGAAAGTAACGGTTATGTATATACCACAGATTTAAGGCAGATATCATGTATCCATGTGCCATGTCGGTGTGGCAGCAGCAGATCAGGTGCAAACGCACCTTCAGAGTAGCAGAAGGATAGGTAGAGGGGGGAAGACTATTATCAAACCCCATATCTGGTCGATGGAATGAAGATCTTCATCTTCCGTGAGACGATGTTTTGTCGTCAACGATGTAATTGCTTCAGGGCAGAGGGGAGCACCCAGAGTCAGTTTGGTCGGACAACAAGACAAAAAGGGACACAGATTAACATTTTAGCGTGAAAGCAACAAAAACAAAAGACACCAACAGAAGCAGCGGGACCCAGCGACAGCAGTAGCCAAGTAAATGCCCAAGGTATTTGAGATGAAAGGTAAGATCTCCTTTACGACAAAGAGAAGGAGCCAAATAAAATATGCATTAAATGTTCTGATGGGGAAAGGCAGAACAGTGGTAAATTGTCAAAAAAATCTATGCTAGCCGGAGGGAAGGATCGAATTTGTACCTTCGATTAAATATACCTTGGGCAGCAGTAGCAGTCAAAGCAGTGCAGCAGCAGAGCAGACACAAAAGCAGATGAAGAGAGGGAGAGGAAGAGGGTGAGGCAGAGACAGAGAGCCAGAAGCAGAAGCAGCTACAGCAACAACAATTTGTTAGCTCTTTACGATTATTGCCTTTCTCACACCTTATTACCAGGAAAATAAAGAAGCAGGCAACAACAAATAGGCGACGATGAAATGTGAAAATAAAAAGAAACACAAAACACGGCACAAGATACGTACAACAACAACAAATAAGTAAATAAATAAAAAACGAGAACAAGAAGCTGCCCTCCTGTCCTTCTGGTCAGTGTGACGTCCAGTAGGAGCAGCAGGAGCGTGCGGGAGTTGGAGAGGAAGGGACACGTTAACCGACAGACACTCCAAATCGAACCATGCCCGACAGGTACATGGCCAGGCACCTTCTTGACAGCGTGAGGGGCGAAAGGGCAAGGGCTAAAAGGATTTCAAATGCATATCCATACATACAAAGAGGACAGAAGGGGCCACGAGAGACAAACAGGGACAGAGAGTGCGAGAGAGGACAATCGGCAAGTGCTGATCAACGAGAGCATGGAATGGAGTCTCTTGGACCGGGCCGGGTCGGGGCTATGCTACCGATTTAAATGATGTCCGTGCAGAGGCAGCAACAACAACTCTTGCAGCTCTGTTTGCTTAATGAACCAACACACACACACACACACACACACATACATATGTACACAAATACACCAACAGACGCTGAGAAACACCAAGAAAAACCACCTTCAGCAAATAAGCAGACAGGACGGCAACAGTCGACACATGGATACTCTTGCCAAGTCCAGCAGCAGCCCAATGAGATATATGGGAGATATGAGAACTTGGTTGACGCTTAGACAACGACAAGATGCTTCAATGATGCATTTGCAAAGGCTCGGAACAGTAATGATCACCGGATCAGTACCAATTGAATGGACATGTCCATGTTCTCTGAGATGCCCTCGCGTCACATTGCCACCAGAAGAAGGAGAGGTAGACAACAAGCAGATAACAACGACTGTCTCCAAGTGGGCTCAAGTACCGCTGTCGACGATGCGGACGGCAGACGGCAGACACAGACGACCACGACGACGACGACGATGAGGGCTAAGAAGGGAATGCGAGACACGCAGGCTGGCCAAGACGGACCGTCAAGAGGACAGACGATGGGCAGCAGTGGCAGTAGAAGCTACTTCACAGAAACAGAACTCTGATTCTGACGATGCGATCGTGTTTCTTCCCGTTGGTGCATGTATTTGTATATGTATCTCTCTGTGTTTCTGTGTCTCTGTGTGTGTGTGTGAGGTGAAGAGGAAAGCAAATCCAAGTCCCGTGGTGGCGGAGTGGAGTGGAGCAGAAGGAGTGTTTTGCACACCATTCCATTGGCATCCGCCCGAGCACCGGTTCCCAGTTTCCCCAGTTCTCAATTTCGATTGCATTACATCCAGGAGACCCCCCCCCCCCTCCTGCTCCTGCTCCACCGCCTCATAGGCAGCAACTTCAAACGTTGTTGGACAATGACTTTCACGCCTTTTAAGCGCGCCAAAACAGAAAACACCACCAACACCAATGCACGGAATGGCACCACTACTGCAGAAGCAGCAGGCAGCAGGCAGCACCAGAAAGAATGACCAGGCGGCAAAGGCGGCAACCCAGATACACTACTTCACCCAGCATCACTAGCTATGTATGTAAAGTGGAATCCAGCGGAGAGAGAGGATATGACATCCATTACAAGTATTGATCAGACCGATCACTGATCACTTTCAGGTTTCCATTCACACACACACACACACACACACACACAATAATTGATTGCTCTCATTTTCAATATCAATTTCGATCGCCAATCACTTAAGTCTTTGATTTCGGTAAGTGAGGCAATTGGAACATCACTGTTTAAGATGAAGAGTAGAAAGAAGCGGAACAAAAGGAGAGAGAGGATTGCAATTAAACAATCAATCCAATTGCCAATTCTCATGTTCAGCTTCTTTTCCCCGCCGCTCATCTTGCCATTCCCGAGAAGTTCTTATCGCTATTTCGCGTGAATTTCAATTTTGAGATTTGCTTAGTTGTGCGCGACTGTCGAGCATGATTGACTGCGGATGTACCACCTCATCCACACATCCAAGACCTGTGCGTATGACGGTACATAGTATATGTGGATCCATTATTGTTACACATGCCGTTTATTGAAAACAAAACAAATTTCAACACATCATCCGGGATTGGGATTCGGATTGGGTTCACTAGGAAAGGTTTCGCTTTTGGCCAGTCTTCTGGCCTGCACTCGTTTGAAAATTTCGAATTCGTATCAAGCGTTTTTGGGAACATTCTACATACTCGTGGTTGTCTCGGTCCCGGGTAGTAGGCAATAACGGTAGGTTGCTGCTTGCTTGAATAAGCCTCACTTGACCGCCGTTGTGCGGGTAAAACTGACAAAAAAAAAACCAAGTAGAAAAAAACAAACGTAAACTAAGGAACTACAACAATTAGTGCGGCAATGCAGCCGAGCTTGAGGTGGAGAAACCCGTTGCAAGGTTGCACAGCAGTGAAATGATCGAATTTATCGAAATGATCGATAAGCTATACCGTCAGGGCCTCGTACATATACCAAAATATACCATTGCATCTTCAAAATATACCGAAAACATACAGTATTCTTAAATCGGATTCCTCGATTTTGATGTTCTATATAACATTACTAGCTACTTAAGAGTCTTAGCGCTAAAACTATCATTTTATTCGATTTTTTAATAAATTCTGCACAAGATTGGCTAGTTTTTAAGACCCTTCTATATTGGATTCATTGCAAAATAAGGTTACAACTTCTTACCAACCTTTTGTGGTGGTGTGGCAAGGCCGGCTAGCCAGTCATCCCAGGGCTGGGTATTTTCCGAGCCCTCAGGTTGCTCAATATATCTCGTACAAATACTGCAAATAAAACGACAATTCAAAAAAAAAACGAACGGACTTTACACGCTAATGGACGTACATCTCTTCGACACAGACGTGGTCCAGGTTAAGGTGTCGATGGTCTACCTCTGACGTACCCACGCTACTGCAGATTAAACCAAGTTCAAGGGCATGGCATGATCTGGGCTGGTTGCCGCTCTCATTAATTTGGGGGTGTGGGTGAGCTGGCTCCTGGGTCAATATCCTTAATACCTTAAGCGCTGCAGAAAAATCGTTTAACGTCTTGATCCCCATTCAAGCCAGATGGATGTGTTTAAGTTGCCAGCATGTGCTGTGTGCCATCTATGCATCTACATATGTACACAAATATTCACCCAACCAATAAGAAGTCGTTTTTGTTTAAAGGAAAAATACATTGATTGTGTAGCTATTTTCATTTTTCTTACGAATACACGCATAACATTTTAGTTAAATACATTTACAATTGAAAATTTTCTCTACTTTTTGGGGGAAAACGAAATCGACATTACAATTACACGTGATCCGGCATCATACGAACTAATCAGTTAAATATAACATACATACATATACAAATGAATTAATTCAAGGAACTAAAAAAAAAAAGAAAAAAAATAATAGTTTAGAAGAAGTTTGTTATCCTTAGGTTCATTAGCTTATTAATCATACATAAATTATGGTTTTCTTCTAATAATATCGTTTTTTTGCAGCTTGCGGATTAGGGCTCACTGTTACATAGATTACATACTCGTAGTACATAAATATACATATATCGTAAAAGTGTAAATGTAAATGTAAATGTTTAGCTTTAAAACTGATGTTGAAAATACAATATACATACATCAAAAATCGATAATAGGCACATACAAAGCAATGACTAAATCAGAAATATCAGATATATATGTATATGTGTATATATAAATATATATATATATGTATGTATATGTGTTTATATAATTATATATATATACCAAATAATTTCATATCATCATTTCGTACCGTTATGTTACCAAACCCGCTGTTATCCGCACACTAGCTCCAACTAGTACATTCAGGTGGATCGGTTTTCGGTTTCGGTTTGTGTTTGTGTCGTGTAGTGTTAGTTTATGTTTATGTCCGTCTGTGTGTGTGTGTTCACGTTTAAAGTTTCATGTTCATATTTATGTTCATGTTATCCGGTTATAACAATTTCTCCGAGCAGTACATAATGTACAATACACAGAGCTCGATTAGATAAATGAAATACAACTACTGTATATGTAAGTATATCCTAAAAGACAGTCTTGTTTCCTATGTGCGTGTTGTTCTGTATGTGTGTGTGTGTGTGTATGTGTGTGTTGAGTTTGTTTGTGCTTATGTATATGGGAAAGTATATATATATATATATATTTGATGTACGTATTTACTGCAATAGAGAATACATACGTCCGATACAATCGGTTATCCTTATACACAATCATTAACAAACAGAAACTTAATAAATTAATGAAGAATCCAAAGTTAATTTCATTATATTCTTTTTTTTGTACATAATTGTGTATGTGTGGGTAGTATGCGTGCGTGTTACGTGTGTGTGTGTGTGTTGACTAAGAAACGTACAGTGGTAGCCCATAAAATGTATACACTGTATTATATATGTACATAATAGAACAGAAATACGATCTCGCCAGAAGGAGAAACTAATGTATGCATGAGAGGATAGACTAAATTCTTAATTTCCATTCTCATTTCTGTGGGACATGCACACAGATCCCCTTAGTACATCGATCTTACGGATAGATATGCATGCATAATTATCGATGGCATAGATGGGGGGGACACGATACTTTTACGTGTGTGTGTTTGTGTACATTAAGGTTTGCTTAGAGTATCTGTAATTTACATACGCTTTATATGGAGCTACAGATTTAAACTCTTTTTTGTTTAACGTAATTAATTTCTCACTTCCTCTCTGCATCTCTCTTACTCGTTTACTCTTTCTCTCTGCATGCATATCGATTTTTATATATGTAAGTGTACATATGTATTTCCTTTCGTTTTTTGTTTTTTTTTTTGGTTGTAAGTCATACATTTAAAAGAAAATTCAAATTGTGGGAATCTGGTTTTGTTTTTTGTTTCATTTTCATTTTTGGTAACTTTAAAAGTTGTTTCGTTAATTGAGTTGCGAAATGAATTTTTGATTGATTTGATTGATAACTCCATATAAATATGTATATATGCCTCTCTCTCTCTCGATCCCTAGATCTCTCTGGGTGGATTTTGCCCATCCCAAAGTGTATCCCATTTTTTAGTTTGATTCTCGTTCTGCTCCAACACACCACATTTTAAAATGGAAGAGTTTTGCACATTTTTAGGCTGGCTTTACACAGATTGTGCAGATGCACAGATAAGTAGTACATGTGCTATATTATGTAACTACATTCATACGATATATGTGTGTCTGTGTTTGTGTGTACTTTACCGCATTAATCTAATCTGCTTGAATTGGCTTTGTTCTTTGTTGCTTGGTGTTTTGTTGCCTCTGGATTGCATCGTTTCCTAGTCGTAGTCATAGTCTATATATCTTCGCTTTCGCTCTTGGTTTCCAAAAAATTCGTTGTGTGGCTGCTCTTATGTAAACAGATATATCTCAAAAGAACAATGAAAGCCCGATCTGTTTCGTCTGTTTGTTGTATTTGGCTGATTGATGGATCGCTTTGGTGTTTTTCTTCCTTGTTTCCTTTGGTGCAACTCATGGGGGGAAGGGGGAGTGGTTGATTGGTTGATTGGTTGGTGGCGATTCATTTGTAAGATTGGTGGGGAGGTTCATCTTCATAGAGCTTTATATAATTTAGCTACAGATATCGATATTTTGGATATTTAGTTGTGTATCTGCATCCGGTATTTTGTATACATATATATAATATAGTTAACATGTATATATAACTGATCGGATCTGGTTACTTGATATATATGTATATTGATTACATGTGTAATCATCATATGTATATATATATTGTGTACATACATATATATGTGTGTATTGTATAAATAGACAGCGAATAGCGAACGTTATTATTTCTCAGACCCATTCATCCATAATAGTTCCAGCTGATTCTTTTGCTCCTGCTCCACATTCTCTTACACATCCATTTCAATTTCCATATCCATATCCATATCCATATCCACATCCTCAGCCTGATATCCTCCTCATCTCCTGTTGTCCCTGCTGCTCCTCCACGGCCATTGCATTAGTTTGTATTTGTATATTCTTTTTTGTTTTGTTTGTATTTAATATAACATACATTTATATATTCTGAATATATTTAGTTGGTGTTTTGTAGTTGCAGCTTTCTTTCTTGCACATCTCCTGTTGTTGTTTTTTGTGTGTTTTTTTTTAGTAGTTTTGGGGCCGACGGCCGCGTGGCTTGATCTTCTCCGATATTTGCCACATCTCCTCCTCGCCCATAAAGTCCTTGAAGTTCTCAAAGAACCGTATGATCCGCTCGTTCCGTCTAAACGGATACGCACTGCAAGGGGAGAGAAAGCGAAAAAAGTTAGTTAGTTTGGGACAATGGGGTTCAAGTACTTGTAATCGGACTCCTACCACTTCTTGAAACGCTTCATGTTCACAATGATGTTGTACTGCTGCCAGCGTTTGGAGAAATTGATGACACCCTTGGACAGATAGTCCTGGTTGCCCACATGTACAAACGTCAGATCCTGCAGGACCAGACCGCTACAAAGAACACACAAATGAGCACATTTCTCAGCTGAAAGGAAGAACAGGTGGGGGAGGGACTCACATATAGGGTATGCAGGGCGGATTGGTTTCGGCCAGGGCCTGGCGATAGGCCCGAAAACTGGAACTGGAATCGATGAGGGCGCAAAAGGAGCGCACCTCCTCTGTGATACTCTTCTGCCACTCCAATCTGTAACAGAAACGGAATTTATACATTCGGTCTCAAATGATGGACAAATGATTCATTTATGTACCTTCGAATGGGACCCGAATCGAGGGCCGAGAGCAGCGCCAGATACGAATTATAGTTGTTCATCTTACGCAGATGCTTCATGATTTTAATAAACTTATTCACATGCTTCTCCCGCTCCTTGGCGTCGTGCAGTCGCAGGATCTTGGAGCGAGCCCAGTAGGACATCTTGTTAAAGTGCTCGGTGAACTTGTTGAGATTGGGCGACTTCTCCTCGCACTGATCTTTGGCAAATAGTAATACTTCGGGTATCTCGATCTTCTGGAACAGCTCCGCATCCAGCAGCGTCATCTGCTCGGCAATGTCCAGGGACTTGAGGTCCAGCAGGCTGGGATGATTGCTGCTGCCGCTGCTCATGCTGCTGCTGCTATTACCGGACAGACCGCCACCGACGCCTCCACCGATGCCGACGCCAGCGGCTCCGCTGCTGGTTATGGTCCCGACCATCTCCAGATCGTTGACAAAGCCATACACCTTGGGCTCCTTGTAGAGCGTCACCTTCTCCACGAACTTGTTGCGCAGCAACTTGGCCAGATATAGCTGTCCGGAGCAGACCAGCTGGTAGACAAACTCCACCAGCAGGCTAAGCAGTTGGCTGGTGAGATCCGTAGATCTGCAATGGATAGATGGGCCTTCAGTAAATTCTTGAGGAGAAGATAACTGCGGCACTCGGATACTCACGTAAGATCATTGACAACCCGCACCAGCAGCGAGAAGGTCTCTTTGGCGGCCTTCTGCTTGTTATCCTGCACCTGGCAGAAGAAGTATGTGTAGCGATGGGTGAGCTTCTCGATCACATCGATCGGCTGGATGAAGGTGCGGAAGGTGGTGATGAACGCCTCGCTGAATGCTGCACGTGTGAAATGGACAGAGACAGAATGACAGACAAATGATGAGTTGGGGGGAGTTCGATGGTAACGAGGGTGCTTGACATGCTTCCGCTTGGCTTGCTGCGGATGTGGATGCCTACCATTGTCGGCGACCTTCTGGACTCGGCTCGCGTGCACAATGAGCGCGTCAATGTAGCCGCCCTTGACCTCTGGCCCGTCCTCCTCCTTTTTCTTGAGTATTAGATAGCGCGTTATATTGACCTCCTCCAGCATATTGATCACCGTCTCCACCTCGCCAGCATCCTGCTGTTTCTGCTGCTCCTGCTGCTTCTCGGCCTCTGACTCTGGGGTGACTCTCGACTCTTGTTCGTCATCGATCAGCTTGGGCGTATTTATGGGCTGCTGCTGCTGCTGTTCATGCTGATCCGCCGATGTTGTCGCTGCCACCGGCTCATCCGGCAGCTGATGCGAGTGGCAATAGAAGGTCTGACTCTCGCCTGCGCCCTCTCCATCGTCATCGCCATCGCCAGAGCTGACATTCACATTCTCATTGCTGTCGAGAACGAGGGAATCGTTATGCTCTTCACAGACAGTGGCCATACGGCTGTCTGGCCTCCCGCCGCCGGCTCCACCGCTCGATCCATTCTCGCACAGTGTCGGCTTTGGGCTGGGCGGCGGTGTGGTGACAATTATCGGCTGCAAAGAGGCCGCCGGCTTGCGCTGCTTGTAGTTCTTTGGCGGCAAGGCTGGTGGCGTCTCTAGCTCGGGCGACAGTTCCTTGCTCATCGGCATAATACTGCAAAGAATGAAAGAAAAACAAAGAATTGCTAAAGCTCCAATCTCTCAATGGACGTTGAGCCACTACTTACTTCATAGTCTGGCTGTGGGAGATATTCCGGCTGATGTTGCACGCATGCATCGTGTGTCGGTGCTGCTCGATGGAGCGGTTCGAGGCCGTGCAGATCTCCATGTAGGCCAGAACTGTGTGTGCGGTACGGAAGGAGGGTGAAAGGAAAACGGAATTAGTATTAAGTTGTGCCGGTAAAATTCCATGTCAAAAGTCGAACCAACAAAGCCGATCGATCGATCCCTGACGTTAGGTACACAAGGGAATCTATCTCACTTTTAAGGTCTCTGTGGATAGCTTAAATGTAGAAACAAGGCTAGCGAGTCTTTACTGCTGAGTGTGTATAAATTTCCCATAAACGAATAGGAACATATTTGTTCATAAACGAAAGACCAAGGGCTTATTTTTAGAGTATTTATATAATGAATGTACCTGTAAGTATTTGTACAGGGTTTTTTGAGGATTACCACACAGGTGGTTTAACGGTTAGGGAAGGTGGGTGGGCTGTCTATGTACATCTACAAACATCAAGGGATCGCAACATCACAACAAACAGTAAAACAATTCAAATACAGAAGCACAAAAGCACAGAACATCTGGGAAGCACACAACAGTGGGGTATACAGAGAATGAAGCAGAACGAAACGAAAGCAAAAATGGAACGGAAACAGGAAACAGTAACGTTAACTTCATGGGGGACCAATACGAAACACAAGGAATTTAAACCAAAATCATCATCCCCAGCGGCAGCAGAAGCAGTGTTGGGCAACAGCCGAAGTGTTGAGCAACAGCACCTGTTTTGAGAAGCCAGCAACGAACTCGAAATGCTTTCTGGATCCGCATTAAACCCACCACACATACAAGTCCCGTGTGAGTATTAATTGTTGTAGTTTGTAGGCATTCTTAGCCCTTTTAGGTTCATTTAAGCTTCAATTTTTTGCTATCATTATCTGCGGCATCGTTAATTAGTTAGATTTTCCAGGAATCCGCGCGTTACCAGCTTAGGCTAGCATTATATTGGATCACTTAATAGTGGCAAATCGTATCTTATCATTTACTTTGGTATTCGCTCAGCAGAAGAATTGAAAGCAATGAAAAAGCATTGCGAGTTCTTCAGGCTGCCAAAGCTGTTTATGATTTTAGTTTGGTTTTAGTTTTGATTTTGTTCTATTTCGTTTCTCAATTAGTTTTTTTGGGGTGTTTCTTTTGTTTTGATTTTTGTGTTTTGGTCCTCTAATAGCACACACAGACTTACCCGAAAATGCCACACTTTGAAACACTAGATGTTGGTTGGAACGATAATTTAGATGGGTTAGACTCTTAAGTACAACTATTTGGCAAATTTTCGTATCGTTTGCCTTACGTTTTGCGGTTGCGTTAGCGCTAACGGGCTTACGTTTAAATGTGCTATAAATAAAAGTGTGCCTTGAAAATCAAAAAACAAATCTCTCAACTCTCAACCACGGCTTGTTTTTTCTTTTCTTTCATGCTCTACGCGAAATGATATATGTTGTGGTATTGATTGATTGATTGATTGATTGATTGACTGATGGCAAATAGTTGTCTTTTTTGTTATGCGGTTCTGATTGTTGGCTTTTGATGTGGATGTATGATTTGTATGATCGATAAATGATCGATAACTAATCGGATTTTGATAATTTCTTGTTCCATGTTCCAATTGATCATTGAGGAACTTCTTTTTAAAATACCGATCGATAATCGCTTTGATGATAATTTAAACATCGAAAATGTTTGTTTTCTTGGCGGTATATGAGTATGGGTAGAGGCGTTTGTGTGTGTATGATTAACAAAACCCACAAGAAGAGACAACACAAAAAATGTCAAAACTCTTTTCCGAAACAAAAATTAAAATTTTGAAAAATTTAAACAATTTAATGAAATTTCCCCCCTTTATAAGGATGATGCTGATGATGAACCGTTAGACTAAGCACACACGCACACGCACAGCAACAACTGTATTACACTTACCGCTCGGCAAAGCCTGTGGAATGGCATTTACCCAGCGGCCGGTCAAAGGTCATGCGTACACGCACACAAAAAATACACAAACACACACACACACACACACGCACAAAGAGATGCAGAACCAAAGAAAAAGGAAAAGAAGAGGAAAACAAAAATGATAAATAATCGAATGGTACATTTAATCGAGAATGTGCAATCGATTCTGGCAACCGATACTTACTGTACTTCTTCTTCATGGGCAACGGCGGCGGCTCATCGAGATGCCTCTGATCGAAGGCGCTGCAACTGCCAGCCAAATGGTGGGGAGCACTGCGCGGCGGCTCAATCAGGCTGTGGTGCTTCGAGTGCCACTGGTGAAGCTGTTGCTGGTGGTGATGGTGCGGCGACAGTTGCCTCAGTTCTGCCACCTCTGCGGCACTGCTGCTGCTGCTGCTCGCTGCACCCTGACTCCAGTCCAGCTCGTCTAGGGCGCTTGATTCGTGACGCGTCAGCGTGCGTTGATGCGTAGTTGTTGTTGCCATTCCGGTTGCCGTCGCTACCGGTGTTGTCGTCTTGGGTGGCAGAGCGGGTGCTGCAGCCCCTGTTGTTGCTGCCGGATCCTGCTGCTCGCCACTGCTGTAGCTGCTCAGGGTGGTGGTGGTCATGCTACTGCTGCTGCTGCTGGAGATGTGCTGCTGCTGCTGCTGGCGCTGGCTGCTGTGGCTAACCGATTGGCTAATCTGCTGGTACTCGCTGCTGGACGCACTCGCTGTCGCCGACGCCGACTCACTGATACTGATCGCAATCTCCGAATTGCTGCTCGACGATTTGGCCGACGATTGTACGCTGTAGTCCGAGGAGCGTTTGGAGACGCTCTGCGTGGATGTGCGAAACGACTTCATTGACACGAAACCTGCCGCAGAAAAATGGACGAAAGAGATAGGGAAGCGAGTTAAGAACACGTGCATAGTGGCATATTGAATAAAGCAAAAAAACCAAGCAGGAAAAGCAAATATCAACGAATAAGTAAATAAACAGTTAGGACAAAATAGGAAGCAGAAAAAGAGTATAAGGACCTTCTGTTCAACGAATAAACAAAAAAAAAGCCTGATATCTCGGTAAACTCGTCATAAAGTTTGTATTGATTGTATAATTAATATTAATTTGAGTCTAACTATTTTCAGGAACTGGTACATTTCTTAAAATTTAAACGATATGAACAATTTCCTTCGAATTTCGTCGTTGCCACCTGATTTCTGTACGTCGTTAAGTTGGTTGCGCCTCAATATTTGGTGAAATGGGACCGTTACTTATGATATTTACACACATGACATTTTTATCACATTTGTATGAAATGATTTGGCAAAAATGGATCACATAAGCACCAAAAAGCACTGGGAAAGCCTTAAAGCACGGCAAAGGAAAAACGAAATATCTGAATAAATTATAAATAGGATAAATTATAATATTAAGACAGTTACAGAGATAGGTATAGAAAAATATGTACAAATGACATATGTATGTACAAAAGCATATAGAAGAGAGAAAAACGCCAGCAGGAGTAGCAGTTGCTTAGGGGCTTTAGAGAGCTATAGAGATGGTGCCAGTACCCGATTCGTTCGAATGACGATTGTTGGTGAGGGCTGCCGCCGCTGTGCGCAGTTCCGTGTTAGTTTCACCTCCACCTCCTGCACTTGGGCCTCCGGTTCCTGACAGCTGAGTCTGCGCATTGGCTGGTGCCATGGCTATGGTCATTTCCTGTGCAGCAGCGCTTGCGGACCCGGTGGCTTCTGTATGTGGAATATGTGGAATATGTGGGATGTGGTTAAGGGGGGGTTGTTGGGATGGAGACAGGAGAGAGAGAGGAGTAGAGGCCACCACTTGAGTTGAGAAGAATGTGTTTATGGATCAAGGGGGATCATCGATGGGATCCAATACTCACTGTAGCTAATCATCTTGTCTGCATCCTCTTCCATCAGCTTCAAGGGCTGCTTCAAATGCTGTTGCTGTTGGTGTTGTTGCGGATCCTCCTCCTCGCGAGAATGATTCAAAGCCGAGTCAAAGGAGCACTGGCTATTCTCATCCGGAGAACGGGAACGCACCGAGAGGCTAGAAGATGGAAGCCAACAATCAGTCAACAATCATAGGTCTGGTCTAGTCTGGTCTACTTACCGATCCACTCCGTAGTTCAGCAGCGAGATGTTGGAGCTGCAGTCCAGGTCCGAGTTGAGGCTGATGTTGTGCGACTGCGCATAGGGCAGCGGACTGGCCTGGTTCGATGTCGACGTGGATGAGGAGGAGCCACCGGGTGGCGCTTGTGGCTGGCTGCGTCGCTTGGGTGGCAATGGTGGGGGATTGCTGGCCCGATTAGGTAGCGGCGGCTTTGGCGGCGGACTCGTGTCGCGGAGTATGCTCTCGGTGCTGTGGGATCCCCGCATGGGATTCACATTCCGATGCTCCAGGCTAGCCCGCTCCTTCGGCGACAGGGCGATGTCCGGCAGGGAGGTGCGCTGGGCCACGGCCGCGTTCTCGACAGCGGAGATCCTCATGCTGGCCACGCCCGTGATACCGGTTCCGGGTACACCACCTACCGGTAGTATGCCGGCCCCGCCACCTGCGTTCGTACTGGATGCTGTGACAGCGCCCATAATCTCGGCTGCGGCTCCAATGCCACCCAGACCCGAAGAGCCGCTGTAGCGAAAGGTGCACTGATCCTGTTCCTTCAACTTACCCTGGGCCAGGGTAACGAGATTCTAAAGGGAATATACGAATGAACGAGTGGTTTAAATGTGAGCAATTTATGTTAGATGTTTGGTTAACATTTTCCCATCTTAAGCCCCACAAGGAATGTTTCTGCATCGCTGTATAAATTTCCCCTAAGCGAACAGACAAACATTCGACTAGAAATGAATTTATAAATTTGTATTAAATCGATAACACCACTTACCCTCACTGCATCCTCGAGTAGATCGATAACCTCGCGCACATTCTCGTTGCTGAGCGAGGGGCACTCTCCGCTCTCATCGGAGAGCATTACCTCGTCGCAGAGTTTGATGAGTTTGCCCAGGGATTGATAAACCTGCTGCGTGGCTGAGCTCATGATGGCACTGTTCTCATTCAGTGGGGTATACGTTTGAATAACTGAGGAAACAGAGATTGAAGAACCGAAAGATCATAGATTTTACGCTATTTTCTGCATGGATGAGGGAGTTTGATGCCTACCGGAATACATGCTGGCAATAGTCTCCAAGATGACCGTACCATTGCCGGGCAGCACCTCGAGCTTCTTCTTCAGAATAACGTCCCGAAAGTGCTTGAGGGCATTCGATATATCCTTGACGTGCGTCTCCAGCGTCTGTGTGGAGCGCTGCACCTCCTCATTGGAGGGTGGCGGCTTGACGCCAACGCCATGCTTTGTGCGCGGGCTGTGCGGTGAGTGGGAGCGACCCAGCGTGTTGTTGGTGGTGCGCATTAGGGATATCTTTTCGATCAGGTCGTCTTTAAAGGAGCGCGCCCGTCGTGCCAGCTTCGTTCCCTTGAGGCTGTTCTTATGACCCGATGATCCGGTCTGATTGCCGTGAGCGGCGCTCGGCGGTGCCGGTGGCACTCCGCCTCCGGCTCTCCCTCCTCCTTGATGCTGGTGGTGGTGAGTCGGCGGCGGCGGTGTGCATGCGACGGGCACTGAGGAGGCACTCGCGTAGCTGCCGCTATTGATGCTGTTGTTGCTGCTGCTGCTGCACCCACCACCAATGCCACCACCGCCCGGCGTGTTCGGAGAGCTGATGCTGCCGTCTGCAATGAAGCATTAACAAATAAATCAAAAAATGTTTTGGGCTGTGGAAATGCGAATAAAGTTTGCCATTAATTGATTGATTTGCCATTAATTCCCATTCATGCCGCAACTTTGATTAGCTTTTAGCTTCAATTCGGCAATAGAAATGGAAAGTCTTCTACAAACTTAACTCTTTTCCGACCAAGCAAGAGCAGCAGCTGTGCACCGAGATAGCATTCAGGGACATTTTTTTCCTACCCAACTGATTCAAATCATACTGCTTTCGTTTTAATCTTCATTCACATTTTCCCTATTGACTTCTCGTCAAAGTTGGAGAGAGTTGTGGGAGAACACCCCATCCCACTACTCCCATCCTTCAATTTCGCAAAATCCTTTACGGGAGGGGCCCTCTGTGAACCTACTACCATATAGTATACAATCTACTTTTGCAAGTTGGAAAAAAACGTTTGGCAAAATCGGTATTTTTTACCCCAGGGCTACCTCTAAATCCGGCCCTGCAGCTCTCTCTATTCTTTTTTGGATAATATTTGAATGGATTAACATGAACGTCCTTTCCTTACTATCTGTAGATCCTAATACTGAATTTTGTTCACTTACGTTCTCCCGCAGCAGAGTTAGGGGTAGCACTATTCTGGCACATGGGCATCACTGGCATCGATAGCGATGCTGCCAGACGTGGCAATTTTTTGTGCTTGCAACGTCTCTGGAATTTGATGTTATGCAGAGTGTGGCCGCTGTTGTTGTTGCTATCTCGCGGCATCCGTGATGCCCGATGCTGATCATTATCATCGTGATCATAATTATGATGATGATGCGGCGTCTGCTTAAGCGTGTACGAATAGAAATGCCAGCTATCGGCGACCGCACAATCGCTCAAAAAAGATTCATCAAACTGTGGCATTGCATAACAGCAAATAACAATAACACCAAAAATGGCAAATAACTAAATCAACACAAAAACCAACAGTCGCTCTGGACACAACTGAAACACAGCCACTAATCAAAACTAGACAACACTGAAACACAGCTGTAATCAACACTGAAACAAACAACATTAAGTTTGTTATTGCACAGGCAAATTCCACCGCCAATTCTACGACTTTCTTCCCGATCTTTTTTCATTCACTTTCAGGAGCAATTGTCTGTCCGGTGTGTGTGTCTCTTTTTCGATTGAATTAATCACAAAATAAAAATAAATGATTATATTTAGAGTCTAAATTTTAGACGCTGTCGATTTCGCGTTTGCTGTCGCGTCTCGTGCTGCTGTCGACGACTGGAAAGCGCTATGAACTATGAAAATCCGCAAAAACGGCAAAACGCGCCTCCCCAAACGCGGAGGTGTCCAACGGAGAATCGGCCAACAAACAGCAACAGCAACAGCAACAACTCTGGGGAGATCAATCGGACGGACCAAGCGAACGAACCGCTAGGCCAGCAGCAGAAAACAACAACAACAAAACCAGTGTCAAAAAGAGCATCAAATGGTACTTGCGCCCAGCCTCCCCCCGCCCAACAGACATACACTCACTCTCTCTCATCTAGCCATGCTCTCTCTCTCTCTTTCTCTCTCTCTCTCTCTCTGCCAATATCCATCGAGCAGCAGCGGCAGTGACTGAGCTGCGGGCAGCAACAGCCAAAACGACAATCAGCCAAAAAAAATTGCCCGCTGCCAATATGGAAGAATTTCATACACTTTTTATTTTGCATTTATCATGGTGTTTATTTAGAATGAGATTACTCCAAATTGTGTACAAAAGTAGACGCAAAGCAAAAATTTAGAAATTAAATTATTTTTTTGCAATCTCAGCCCGTTTTTATTTGAAAATCAAATATTCCGAGTGTTTATTTTACAATACCATGTGCCCGACTGGTTTTGGAAAATAACCATACTCTCTTCGGGTAAAGGGTATTGCTTAGCAAAACCCAACGGTTTGTCGCCGCTCTCTTGCTCTTTGCATGGATGGTTGATGCTGTTGCTACTGCTGCTGCACTCAGTGTTCTCCTACTTTTTCTTACTCTCCCACTGTCTTCCGCTCGCTCTTTCTTTCACTCTCTCTCTCTGTCTTGCTCTCTGTATTATCAATCAGCTGTGGGACGACACCTGAATGAGCTTCGTGGGGGAAGGGAGAGTACCGCTGAGTAAGGGGGCAGGTCGTGGCTGTTGGTTGTTGGATGGTGGCCTTTGGGCGGATTTCTTCAATTTGCAAGTGCCGCTCGTGACTTGCCTTGGAAATGAGGGGCACCAACTGAGTGCCGTAAATCGAAGGCGTCGCCAAAAACTAAAGCAAAACCGTAAAGACACCCACAACAACACAGATAAAAGTTAGAAATATAGAAAATACATACATATATCGACCTCTCACTCAGTGACAAGGTTAAGGCATATCCATTAGTGCATGACTTTGGAATTGGGCTTAATGTTAAGGTTAAGGGTAACTCCTTGGCATTTACAAAGCTCTCGTATGGCAAAGCAAAGCGTTTAAGAGTTGGAAGACCCCTTCAAAACCAAGTGATTTACAACATAGCAGAGATCCGAAACATATGAAGGTTGAGGATTGCTTAGGGATGCATAAGTCGATTGCATTTGCTTATCGGGGTTTGGCCTATCGGTACTCGGCAATCGAGGAGGCGGCAGGCTGATTCCCGCTATTCAGATATGGCTCGAATCGAGTTGATATTTCCTGCTTGAACGCCATATAAACATCCATGTGTACATACTCGTATGTAAGTCCCTGGTATGTCTCTGGCTGTGGCGGTCAAACACTTTTGGTTCTGATGATAACTTCCGGAATTGCGTATACCCCTGTATAATGCCTGAATAAATACCGCTTTTCATTTCATGTCCGAGGGATACTGCCTACCTACGATTACAGATGTGTAGAACTATTTCCGTAAAAAAAACATTTAATGCAGATCCCAAAACGACAGAACGGCAACAGTCACGTTCACCCAATTAATTTTTGGCACACGACAAGAAATGGGGAAACGGGGAGAGAAATCAGAAATCCAAAAGCCCCAAATCCGAAATGAGACAAACACGAACTCGATATGCCTGCTGGTAGTGCCATTGGCACTTCGGCATCGCTGCAATCGAGTCTCGCGAGTCGAGGAAATTGGATCAAGCAACGGGCCACAGAGAGTCCGCCCCGCGCCAGAGGAGCGGGTTGGACAAGTCGAACGAGAGGTGATTTCAATTCTGGTTATGGCCAAAAAGAAAACAAAAACAAAAATGAGACACCAACAAATTAATAGATAAAAGAATGCAGAAACTCCAGGTAGCTGGGTGCGGAAGCTTCAAATACCCTATTGAGGCCATTCAAAATTTAATCAAAATGAAATTCACTAAAATATAAATTTCGTTTCATGATTACTTTGAAAATTGAGACATTATTTTGCTTTAAATGATTTTAGATAGATTGGTAACAGATTTGGTATCAATGTGTTCTTTAAATTACTCTCCAGTACGAAATAACTCTCTCTTCACATCAGGTGAGGAATCAATCAACACAACTAAATCACCTTCCAGGTACCCGGGGTTAGGGTATGCAAAGCCACGATCTGGGCTAGGCGGATTTAAAGCGACTGTCAAATGGAGTAAGGCATGGCCCAGTCATATGGTCAACAGCGAGAGAGAGAGAGGGAGAGATAGAGAGGAGGGGAGGCAATCGGTGATGACACCAAATTGGTAATTGGCACAGCCAACGACGACGACGATGATAATGAAGATCATTCAAAACAACTCAGCTTCTTTATCCCCCCCGTATGCAAAGTCCTCCGGCGCTCTCTCTCTCTCTCTCTCAAAGCTTGACCAATATTTGTCTATCTCTCTTTCTTTTGCTTTTTCTGCTCTTCCCAAAAGAGAATAAAGCTTCAACCTGTTTAATGAGAGAGAGAGAGAGAGATCGTAGGCACCACAAGAGAGTAGGCTTATGAAAGGGAGAGCGAGGGAAAGAAAGGCATTACGTTTATAACTATGGCTATGAAAAGCCCTTTCAATAAATATATTTTTTTAGCTTCATTCGTGGCACCGTTCCTTAAAACAGTAAAGCAGCTCAAGACAGCTCATCAGAGAGAGTCACGAGAGAGCCAAATAGAGAGAGAGTTAGCGCATTTACGAAATAATCGCGAAATGTAAAACGAAAACAAAACAGAGACGGCAAACGGCAAACGGCAGAACGAGCAAAAATGTGAAAATGTTGAATGAATGAATGAACGAGCGCACAACAAACACCAAAAGCTACACACATACTCGTCTATATATATGAATGTATTGTGGAATGTTGTGTGTTGATTGCTGCTTGGAATGCCATGCTTTCTAACCGCCAGCCACGGCACGCCACTCCATGTTACAATCGCGATCGCAATAGTTCCTGGGCGCCCACCCCAGAAGGCGGCAGCAGATGTACCCCCAACGCAAACGTACCGTATGCGTAACTTCACATTTTGGTAATGAATGAGTGGAGGTGGGGAAGAGGCAATAAAAATAAAACAAAACAGTAAAACGACATGACATAATCTGTTGTCGACGCCAAAGAGCAACGAAGAGCCCACAACTGCGAGAGAAGAGTGACGGATTCATTCAAATTTTTGTCATTAACAGACAGAGTAGAGCCCGCGAAATGATAGAAAGAGACTTTCAATTACTTTCCACCATTAGGGTTCTTGACCCTAAAACGAGATCGAATCGATTGATTTGTACAAAGAATTATCAACCTCTTTATTTCATATTTCAATGTACAATGATTTTCTGTAGCTATTCATGAAATCGAAACACGCGCATGGAACGAAACTCGTGAGGGAATGGGAAAACTTGAACATTCTCAATATTTTAGAACCCCCACCCGTTTATAGATATTTTTGGAAACGCAGAAACATTCCTTAGAACTAATATAACAGGACAAGTTGGTAAGATTTGCCGCAAACAGCGCTAAAGAAACGAAACACACTCCTCACGAGAAGTGCAACGCCGAAAAATACAAGCGTAACAAACAGAACCGTA